CTTTATTCTAAGTGGCCATTTACTCACTAAAACTGGGAATTCTATCATTATAAGGAGAAAATGTCATGGTATTAAAGAGAAAAATGTATTAAAGAAAGTATATGAAGAAAAAAGGGCACAGTCAGCCAAAGGAACATGCTTAGCTTATATCTGGGAGGTAAAAGCAAATGTTTCTAGGTAGAAATCTGAATATCTCAAAAGCATGGCTCCATGAAGACAAATTTTCCTGCCCTACTTGTCTCTTCTTCTTTCCCACCCTCTCCCATCAAGGTTAGGGAGTCTGGGAAGACTTGAGTAAGAAAAGGAGAAGAAATATATCTTACCCTCCTCTGGGAACTGCCCGACCATCCTTTGCTTGGGTGAGGAGAAACTGTGGTTTTGAGTGAAATAAATTGTATTATTACATGCAATTGGACAGTTAAAATTACTGAATTGTGGAGCCTCCCTGATGGCGCAAGGGGTTAAGACACAACCTATGGAGCTATCCGCAGCCTCTGCGTCGCGAGTTTGATCCCCGGCCAGGGAGATACCCACATGGTGCAGCAGACCTCTACTGACTCGCCCACTGCTCCCCTCAATGGTGTATTTCAGTCAATCCACCTGTTCTGTACCCCACTCTGTCTCTGGTAAATCCTCTCACCCCCCAACTTCTGGCCTGTACCCCAGTTCTTGTATGCATAAATAAATCTTTAAAAAAAAATAAAATTACTGAATTGTGAACTTTAAGTGATTATAGGATTAAAACATCCTATAATCACTTAAAGTTCACAATTCAGTAGCAATAAGGGTTCAGAAATGTTATAGGTATTTGCCTGAGGATTTTTATTCACCAGCAAAGAAGAGTTTTCCTGAATAAAGGCTAATTAGAAATAAAAGTAGAAATCATTTGTGATTATATTCCATGAGCATTGATTGTACAAAGCAAAGGCTACATAACAGCTACTTCAAAGGGTTTCTGTGAAGATTGTGTTTAAAAAATGAATGCAAGAAAATAGTAGAAAGCAAGGCATTAAAAAAAAGTTGATTTTTCCCCTTATTCATTCAACAAATATGTATTGAATTCATATTATTATCAACATTGGTGTTCAGAATAAAGACCTAGAAGGGGAAAAAAATCATAGATAACAGTAGAAATGGCTTGGGGGTGGGGGGCAGACAAGAGGTACTTACCTCAATTCTTGTCTCACTCCCTACCACATGGGGGCAGCTGTTGAAATTTTAGATATAATTCCCTAGAGGGATTTCAGCATTTGAGTATTGGGATTTTAACCCTATGTTTTAAGAGTGAGGCCAAAATACTTTGTGAGTTTTGTGAGCTTATTTGGTTATTTCTCTGTTAAAAACTGACGTCAACCTACATGACTTCACACACTATGCAGATATGATAGAAAGGGTCTGAGACCCTTTCCTGAGGGTATTGAGCTGGAGAGAGGCCACTTTCCATTGTGTAATCTAAACGTTGAAATTTCAGGTTTTTGCCATTAACATGGTGAATTGCACTCACCTGTTTTGCTTCCCTGGTTATACGAATGCCTGCAAGTTTTACCTCTAGTGACACCTAGTGGTTTCGTGTGGTAATAAGAACATGGTTTAAAGCTGTTAACTGGCTCACAGGAGCAGAGAAACTGGGCTGGCATTTGTTTTTTCATTACCCTTGTCAAACAGTCATATGAGAAAAAATGACATTGTCGTATGGCACTTTGGAGTCTCCCACTTCCTATTTGTGAAGTAGAAATGTGTGCTGCCACAACACCCAGTATCTCTAGAAGGGAGGGGCTATGTTCTTTCTAGAGCTGCAGTTGCCAAGCGGCTCCCTTCCTCTCATTTGGAAACTATGGAGGTGTCGCAAACCAACACTGTGCAGAAAAAGAAAATAAGCAATGTCAAAGTGTCCTTTCCCTGACAAGAACAGAAAAACACTATGGAGATTTTTAGATAGGAAAAAGCCAATAATTCATATTTTTCTGTCTAGTTTGAACTTGAGATTATTTAAAAGCAAAATGAATAACAGAATTTGGCATTCCAGATTTGAAACCATTTCCGAATCATATTATAACAAACCCACTGGTGGTTCAGCAGTTATTTATCTTACTCTTGACTTTTGTTTTCTCTCCACCCATAGATTATAGAAAATCGGACAGAGTCAACTGAATTCCCAGAGAACAGAGGAATCCAATTCATTATGATTTTTTCTTCTTTCTTACTGTTTTAAATCAAGAAAAGTAGAAAAAATAATATAGCATTTACTCATGCATCTAGATTTTGTTTTATAAAGTAAAGCATTATTGAAAAAGCTGGACTTGGTTTTTTGTGTTTTTTTTTTTAATTCCAATTCTGTTCCCCATCAGTGTCATATGGTACTTAGCCTCCCAAACCATGTTTTGTGAAAATAACTTACTCTCTCTGTGCACCTATAAAAATATCATTCAGTGTCTTTATTTTATAGATATTATTATACTACAGGTATCATTCTATAATTTTGTCTTTTAATTATCCATGTATAGATATCTAAGTCCATTATTTTAGCTGCTGACTTCCACTGTAGGAAGAAAGCACAATTTATTAGCCCATGGTCCTACTGCAAGAAATTTTTCCATTTTTTTCTATCAAAACCAATTTTGTGCAAATATTTTTGTAATGGTGGACCTATAAAAATATGCTCCTTTGTAAAAACAATGAGAACACTAGTCAAAGTTGACATTCTCATAATGTGGAGAACTAATCAAAGATTGAAATCATTTAAGGAGTATTTATTCAAAAACATGACTGAAAAGGGCCTCCCTTGTGGTGCAGGCAGTTGAGCGCTGCACTGTGAAGCTGTCCACAGCCTCTGCAGTGCGGGTTCAATCCTGGCCAGCCAGCGAGAATCCCACATGCCTCAGCAGACCTCTTCCGTCTTGCACGCTGCTCCCCTCAGCAGTGTATTTCATCAGTCTGCCTGTTCTGTTCCCCACTCTGTCTCTGGTGAATCCTCTCACCCTCCCACGCATCTGGCCTGTACCCCGGTTCTTGTATAAATAAATAAATCTTTAAAAAAAAAAAAGACTAAAAACCAACCATCTCAAATCCATAGTAGCTGTGAAAATAATCATCATCACTACTACTAGAGAGAGCACTATAGGTTTATAGTTCCCCCTAACCCCCGAGCCTCGAGGGAGCCATCACTATTTGACTCCTTTGTTATCTCCCCGAAAAAGTAGCGCTCACATCACTATGTTTATTTTTTTTATAACTTATTTTTTTAGTGAATCAAATATAGTCATAGCTCCTGCAGGATCAGAATATTATAACTACTTGCTGCATGTCTCAGGGTACAAACTTACGAGTTGACCTAAGCCCAGGCCTGAATGTTTGTGTTCCTTCAAAATTCATAGTGAAATCCTAACCCCCAAGACAATGGTATTAGAAGGCAGGGGTCTTTGGGGAGTATTTTGTTTATTTTACCTGATGAGAGCTCCTTCAGTGCAAGCAGCTCTATTCTCAGAAGGTTTGTCAAAACCAGTCATTGGTAATTGTTTAATGATGCATCTGCCTGAGGTGACAATACCAATAGGCACAAATAAAAAACTGACCAAAATGGAAATTTTGGGAATGAGATTACTCACAAGAGAGTTTGAAAATTCTGACATATTCCTGGGAAGCTAGAAGGCATGCTCTTATGCAGGACTCTATACACACCAAGGAAAGACAAGAGAAAGTTCTAATCTCTCACCTCTGGGTGACCTTGGAGCTCTTTGCAATCTGGAAGTAAAGGCTAAGGCAGTTGTATAAACTGGAAATATGGACATAATTCCACAATACATTCTGAGCCTCTTGGCAAAGGCTGAGGACTTACTGGTTGAAAGTCTAAGAAAAAATTCATCCAGTCTCCTAATGACTTCTAAACTAACTAAGCAAAGAATTCAATGGTCACACATGACAAAAACACAGACTTGACAGAATTAGTTCAGAAAAGTCCTTACCTTTACAAAATAAAACCAACAACTGTAGCAACAAGCATAGCAACCAGTTCTGAAGGGGAAAATATGATTTCCAGAGCCACCATATTGCACTATTTAGAATATGCAGATTTTAATTAAAATCATGACACACACAAAGAAAAAGGGAATTACAGCAATCAGTAGAAACTGTCCCAGAGGAAACAGGATGTAAAACTTACTAGATAAAGACTATTAATAAACCATTATAAATACCGTGAAAGAGCTAAAGAAGCCATATCTTTGAAGAACAATGGAATGCAATTTGGCAGTAGAAAGGAATGAAATATCAATATTTGCTAGAATAGAGATGTATTTTGAAAGGATTATGCAAAGTAAAGGAAGTGAGTCACAATAGTCTATAAATTGTATGATGCCACTTAAATGAAGTGTCTAGAATATGCAAATAGATGAGAACAGAAAGTAGATGGGTGTTTGCCAGGTGCTGAGGGAGGAGGGAGACAGGGAGTGACTGTTAATGGGCATGGGGTTTCTTTAGGGGTTAATGAAAAGGTTTCAAAATTAAATAATTATACTGGTCAAGTAAATATGAAGAAATTGAAAACTACTTGTATACTTTGAAAGAATGAATTTTATGGAATGTGTATTATATCTTCATAACTCTTACAAAAGAAGTATCTTTCCATGTCTCCTGGTTCTCAGATTATACAAATATTTCTACAATTGATGGATCTACAATTGGGTTGAAGATTTTCAATTTTTCAATAACTGAACAGATGACTCTACAAAGTAGTTATATCCATTTATACCCCCTTAGTAGTATGAGAAAGTTTCGGTTTGTTTTTATCCTTGCCAATATTTGAACTTATCGGTTTTAAATTTTTAATTATCTTTATATATATTATATATATATATATTTAAAATATTTCATTGGTTACATTTCCATGTCTTCAAGGAAAGTTAAATAGTTTTAATGGTTTTTTTCAAGCATAGTTTTCCCCTTCTATGAATTATCCATATGCTTTGTCCAAATTCTATTGGGATATTGATTTACACACCTACCTTTCAGTGCTAATGACATAGGAACCACAAGCTTCTCTCCCCAATAGCAACCAGTGAACACAGTAGCAACTTGGGCATGTCAATACTTTCTAAGGCAAGAACCAAATCCATTCCAGAATGGAATCTTTGAAATATATTGTTGCCATGACAAGTGACAACAATAAGATAGTTTGGTTGATGATTATTTATTTTAATTTGGGATAAAAGATAAAATACTTGAGTTTCTCTTTTTCATCTTTCAGCTAGTGCAGAGAATTTATATACCAGTAAGTAATTTTTCTCCTATTATTTTTTTACTTAGTCTTTTTTTGGGTTCTTTTAACCTTATTTTTAAATTTTAAAAACCCTGTCTTTTTTCTACTCTGTTTTCTTAGTTTTTGTTATATTAAAGAATTATAGATATATTAGAACTAACCACACCATGGGCCCTCTTCTAGAGTTCTGATCAAATTTGCCAATAAGAAGAGTGCATCTTTGTTAATGCTAAATTCTTCTTTTCTACCATGTGGTCACATGACCCTCCCTTGCAGTCATCTTGAGCATGTATGCTAACTACGACCATCTAAAATTCCTATAACTTCACACCCACCAAAGTTTTATATCAAAGTTTGATATGTATTAAAATAAATCACAGACATGTATAAAGATAGAAGAGCAGAAATTATTTCATGGAGAACATTCTAGGCCTGTCCTAACATTTCTTCATATAGGTATTTTAATCCCATGAGAATATTAAAGAACAAACTTTTGCTAGACCAAAGAGTTTGATGTATTTAGTGAAATGTGGACTCTGAAAATAACAATGGAAGCCCTATAGTAATGGACTAAGAGTTGAATTGTGTGTAAATATGATATCTCTGATACGCTTTTGTTCACGTGTTTAGATCCAAGGATATCTCCCTGGGAAGATGTCTGCTGCTTCTCTTGCATGACAGAGGCATGAAGAAAGCAAGGTGAACAACTTTGATGGAGAAGTAGAAATGGAGTGTACCCGTAAAGCACTTTCTTTGGCTATAGTTTTCAACCAAGGATAAGTTGGTGAGGTTGACCAAAAAAGACATCACAAAGATACACCATTGTTGCTGGTGAGTCAGAATGGATAAGAGCAATTCTGCAATTGCTCTGAAGCGGCCAGGATCTAACAGCCGGGAAAGAATAACATTAAAAGAGCACATACAGCTCAGAGTCAAGAGGAAAATTCCTCCTTATGAAAATCCAGCAAACATTTGATGTGAGAATAACTCATCTGCTTCCATACTGTATAGTAATTAAAAAGGAATCCATAGAGGATATAAGCAAAGATTTTACAAGAAATAAAAAGCAGGCAAGAAAGTAATATTAAAAAAAAAATCAATGACAGTTAAATAATTCTAGAAAAAAATACACCACAGAAGAAAAGGATTTCTTAGAGTTTCATAAAGTAGTTTTATGTATAAAGTATGTTCTCAAAATAGAGATCAGAGAACTTAGGAGAAAGCATTACAGTGTAAGAAAGAAGTGCATGAAAATGATTTTCTCACAAAAACAAAGCCAAAATAAACATTGCTAAAAGCCAGGTAAAGAACATGAAGTGCAAGATTGAGGTAAGCTAGAAAATGTTTAAAAAGGAGATCAAGTATAAGCATAACTAGTACCAATAAATAGAGAAACAAAATAACAGAAGAAATTATTTATGTAAATGTTTTATTAATGTTTAATGTTCATAAAAATTTAATGTTATTAAACTTTTCATGAATATAAAGACTGAAAAGCAGATTAGGTCCCTACAAAAATTAACTCATGATAACCATGAGCTATAACTCATGAGCTATAGCCTAGTAAATGTATTGGTTTACTAAGATAAAGAATGCTTCAGAAATTCAGGAAAAGGAAAATGTTCAATGAACTTCCATAGGGAAAAAAATTCAGCTCTTCTAAGCTTTTTCCACAGCAACATTATATAACAATGAAATAATGCCTATAAAATCCTTCCAGAAAATATTGTAGCACAAGAATGTTATATTCAACCCAACTAAGGCTGGGTGAGTATAACATTTTAAATGTAAAAGTACTCAAGAATTGTGATTTCCTTCTTAGATTACTAGAAAGTAAACTTTAGCTCAGCAAGAACTGAATGATAGTGTGCACTGAATTTAAATGTGAGGAAAAGACATGAAAGAAAGTAGGGATTATTATGACAGAGCTGAATGTAAGTATTATAAACCCACCCACCCCCCAGTATAGAAATGATAAAACTTACAAGTGCTAATAAAATAAAGATAAGGGGGCAAGTACATTGCTTTGTTTCATTATTAAAATCTAGGAGTTAATAAGTAATGAAGGAGTTAATAAGTAATAAGTAAAATCAAGGAGTTAATATGAGATGCACTAAGTAATTTAATCAACTAAAATTTAATCAACTAAAATCATATGGGTAATGAGGGAGGAGAGGAATTAGAAATAAATAAATTTTATCTTTGCTCATAGTTGAGAACCAACAGGTTCGATTCAAAGTTTTAAGGAATAACTATATTGCAGAAGTTATAGTTATCTTAATCATAATTGCAACAGAATACAAAGCTTTCATATTAAATAAACACACAAACATACCATATTACACATACACACACACACACACACACACACACACAGAGAAAGGAAGGGGGAAAATACCAAATACTAAAGAGCTTAAAAGTAGCAACACCAACAAAGGAATAACATAAAATATAGTGACAAAGCTAAACCAAAATCTTTTATATAAATAAATAAAAATGGATTGAACTCAATTATAAAGAGAAAATATTCTGGTTAAATTATGAATAAAACCTAAATTATGAATAAAACCTAGTGATTTGTTACACACTGGAGACATTATAATACAAAATACTTCAAAAACTTTTAAAAATGTGGGAAAAAAGCACACCAGGAAAATATAAAACAATAACAACACAAATTAGGAGTTGGGGGTCTTAATTCATACTATCTTAAGTTTCAGGCTTGAAAGCACTAGATGTGATTGTGTTTTAAAACATCACATAATGAGAAAGTTATGATCCATACTGAAGATAAAATAATTATAAAAATCTCTATGATTAAAAAATTTAACCCCAACATGTCTATCTCTTAGTATCTATGCCTTCTATAAATCCCTCTACTTGAAGATGAAAAATTTAGGGAAGATAGGGCTGAAGCTCTAAAAAGATGGGCTGATTCTGTGCATAAAATGCCAAAAGGAATTTTACAGTAATGAAAGTTAGTGGTTAGTTGACTTTGAGTTCATCAAAAGGAATATTAACCAACTGGACCTAACATAATCCTATGAGTCCTTGAGGTGAAAAGCAGAAGTCACATATTGGTCATGTAGGAAGATCTACACATGGGGCTAAGTGACAAGGAACTACACACAATACCTAGAGCTGAGAGATGCCCTCACGGGCCAGCAAAACAGGTCTCTCATCTTACAGCTCCAAGAAACCAAATTTTGTCCATGTAAGTGACCTTGAACGAGGACCCTGACCTCAAATGACACAGCAGTTGACAATGATTCCAATCATTTGAGACCCTGAGCAGAACCTGACCTTCTTACCCACAGAAACAATCTAATGACAAATGGGTATTTTTTCAAACCATTAAGTTTGAGCTAATTTGTTACACAGCAACAGAAAATTAATGCAATCTACATACTATATAACATAGTACCATCAAAATTAACAAAGCAAAACAAAGCTATGAGGACATTGTTGGTTTGCATACTAATTACAAAGCGTTCTTTTCAATGTTCACAGTGGCAAGACTTGGTTGAATTCACCTCTGTCAGCATGGCATCAAAGCATCCTAAATTAATTAGAACTGCAGGATACAGAGACAAATGTAAGTGTGTGTATATATGTATGTGTATGAAAGAGAAAGAGACCTGAACATCAATCTTTTTCCATGAATGACCACAAAAAAACTTTAATGCCCACAGAATGTATATTCATAAAAGATAACCACGTAATTTATAAATTTCTATATAAATTCTAAATGTAGAAATATTTTTTGATTACAAGAAATTAGAAAACAATAACGAACTGATAAATAAAACAACCATTGAAACTGTTCTATTTTAAATAATTCTTGGGTCAAGGAGGAGGTTAATTCAGAAATTACAGATTATTGGCAATATTGTGTATCAAAACCTGTAACATGCAGTCAAATGGGTATGCAGAGAAAAATTCAATCTTAGATTACTCAGAATAATAAGCCAGGAAGAGTGAAAATAAATGGACGAAATATCCACAATAAGAAATTAGAAAATTAATAATAAAACCAAGGTAGGCAGCATGAACAAAAGGCATACATAAAGACAAAGTTGAATCCTGATTTGATAAGAATTGATTTAAACATTTGTAGAAATAGTGAATAATTTCAAAATCTGATGCTTTATATGATGACACTTCATTCTATGATATTTTCTTTCCCCAAAAAACCTATATTTGAGTCTAATTCTGAGAAAAACACCAAATAAATGCAAATTGAGGGACATATCACAAAATACCTGTATTGGTCAAACTGTCCAGCTCATGAGGAAGGAAAGATTATAAAACAGACCAGAGGAAACTAAGGAGACATGATGACTAAATGCAATATGGGATCCTAGACTGGACCCCGGAACAGGAAAATGATATTAGTGGAAAGACAGGTGAAATCCAAATAAAGTCTACAGTTAATAAAATGGTGCCAATATTAATTTGGTATATGAGAAAGGTATATGAAAGGTATATGAGAGCTCTCCATTTTCTCTTTGCAACTTTTCTTAAATCCAAATTTATTCCAAAGTAAAAAAAAATACTTAAAAAAATAATTACCAAAGACCTAAAAAGTCTAAATAGGACAATTAAAAAGGAATAAAAGTAATCATTAGATGGGCACCTTCTCCACCAAACAAAAGCATACCAAGCTTAATTGTTTACAGAAGAATTTTACCAAACAATTCAGTAACTGGTAACTCCAATTTTAATCAATTCATTCAGATAACATAGAGAAATTCAGAAGGCATTCAAATTCTTTTCCATGAAGTAAATAACAAACACAACATAGTCCACTTTGAATACATCTATTTCTTCCTATTTTCTAGTAATTCTAAATGGACTGTCCAGCAGTGACAGATGGTAGTAGTAAGAATGCTTATCTTTGCTATAATCTTTAATGAAAATGCTTCTAATTGTTTCCTCATTACAACTAGTCCTAGTTTTTGTGTTTATATATCACATTATAAAATTAATCACAGATCTATGTTATTAAGAATAGATTTAAGGCCTCCCCTGGTGGTGCAGGCGGTTGAGCACAGCACTGTGAAGCTGTCCGCAGTCTCTACAGTGGGGGTTCAATCCCGGCTGAGCCAGCGAGAATCCCACATGGCACAGCAGACCTCTCCTGTTGTGCCCACTGCTCCCTTCTGCAGTGTATTTTGTCAGTCTGCCTGTTCTGTTCCCTGCTCTGTCTCTGGTGAATCCTCTCACCTTCCCGGACATCTTCCCGGACAATCTGGCTTGTACCCGATTCTTGTATGCATGAATAAATAAATCTTAAAAAATAAAAGAATAGATTTAAAAATTATCAGAATTTTTTAAATTTACCAGACTTTTTGGTTTAAAATTATGTAAATTTTCTTTTTTAAGCAATCGATGTTAAGAATTAATTGGTTCACTTTTATTGTATCATCTTTGGGGAAAAATACCACCTGTTTATACTTTATTGTTCTTTTAACATGGTTCTATATTCTGTTTGCTAATATTTTTATTAAGTGTTGTTCAGTAATATTCATAGTGAATTTGTCTGAAATTTTGAAATCTCTGTGTGTGTGTTTACGTGTGTTTGGATGCATACTATCCGTCAGGATATGTCCCACTAATGCAATAAGAGATAATGTTCATTCCCTTTTAACTAGTCTCCTCCTTCTCCCTAACTAGTAACTAAACTCCAGATTCTGCAGAGCTCTTTGAAATGGCACCACGTGGTAAGTAATGCTCTAATAAGGCCAATAATGTAAGTGAAAACTTTTAAGGAAAAAATAACTTCTTCGCTGTTTCTCTACTTCAAGTCTGTCATAGTTAATATTCAACTGCTTTTACCTTTTTTTCCTCTCTGAAGAATTGGTTTTTTCATCCTCTTTTGCCCCTGGAAATGACCTACCACACTAGTTCAAAAAGATAAAAGTTTTGACCTATCTCACTCTCTTTCTCCCCGCCCCCATCTCCTGGTCCTCAACAACCTAAATCCTTCCTTCCATCTTTACTGTGGAAATGCTTCCCGACAAACAGGGTCAGAGGTAATGACCTACAGAAAGAGGATAAGAAGTTATGCCATAAGCGGGCAAAAAAATGAAAATTATTATTTCCTGTTCACAGCTCAACCACAAAGAAATAAAGACAGAAAAAAAGAAGGAAGCAATGAGAGAGAGAACACTCTTACCCACTGAAATAATGAGAGTAGCTAATACATCTAAAATATTTGCAATATGTTAGGCATGTTCTGAATGTTTCAGTCAAATAACCCATTTAATGGTCACAATGGCCCTACAGAGTAAATACACTGTGTCCCCATTTGTCAAATGAGGAAACTAAAACAGAAGTGACCTGCCCAGGGCCATATAAGTACCAAGTGACAGGAAACAAACCCACAAAGTCTTGTTGCAGAATCACTGGTTTAAGCACCAAGCTATACTGCATCGACCCTAAAACCCAGTTTGCCTACCCTGAAGATGAAGGAAGAACGTTGAATAAATGAATAAATGATGAGGTTAAAGATTTTAAATCAACAGGATTCAGTATTAATAAGGGAAGTGTTTTAATAACCAAAAGAGAGGGAATGATTTCACTAACTTTGGGAATAGTAGGTAAATTCATCCTGATGTAGCCTGCAGTGTTACAGCTCTCAGTACTCAGCCCTGGAAGTGTTGGCAGGGACACAAGAGCACCAGTAACAGCATCACCCCTTCAGTTAGGCACCAGCACAGACAGGAAGCCCAAGACACAAGGGTACTGGATATCGAAGCCTTCCTTTCAGATGCCCATTTTTCTAAACTTCTGATATCTGTTATTTTTAGAAAAAGAAGACATTTCTGTGAGTTAGATATGAAAGAAAAGATGCAGACTCACATAACATTCCAGAGGGCCAAGTTCAGGGCTTCCCTTGAGTATTTTTAGGATTGTTTGGAAAATACTAGAGAAGACTTCAAATTCCCTCAGAATAATGATGTTATGATAATTCCATTTCCCCTACTGGCTAAGGTAGCATCACAACCACACATTATATGTATGTGATTAGAAACATCTTAGATTCAAAGAGAGATTTACTAGTCAAATTGGCATGATTCCAAATTTTCTGGCCAAGAATGACAGCAGATATTGAACAAAAGTGTCAATGATATAAGGGATGTATAAAAAGCAGATGGTCAGCACAGAAAAGAAAGCCAAAATAATAAATATAGAAGTTTAAGTCTCACCAGGCAGATCCTAAAGCTAATATTATGCAATATATTACTAAGTACAGATTTCCAGGAGTGTGACCATTTTATCATTTACTGTGAATTTTCAATGAGAATACATAATGACCAGGAAGTAATTGAAAATGAGATAAAAGGGAAATTTAGCCATATGGTAAACTAGAATAATAATTCTACTCCTTCAGAGGAGGCACCCAAACATTTCTGGGAACTCTGAGGAGCATATTATATATTCTGAACAATAACCCAAAGCCTCATTGCGGAAAAAAAGGTGAAATTCCCTCCTAATTCCTATAACTGGAGAACCAGTTCACGTATGTTAGATAATCCTTACTGTTTATCAATTGGCTTTCGGCACTAGTTAAACGTTAGTGGTACACACAGTGCGTGTGAAAGCAGGCCTCTAACACACGTATAGGACAAGCTGCGAATTAGCGAATCAACAAAAGATGTGATGCTGACGTGTTATAGGGGGAACAATAACCCAGCTATAGAGTTAGAGTGACAAATTTAGCTCCATGAAAAAAAGAAAAGCTATAGCTAACACAGGGCAAAGCAAAAGTTCCTATTATGATAAATCAACTAAATGACAGCAAGTTCCAGGGTTGAGTTCACTTAAAAAAGTACTTCTCAATCTTGGGTGTACATTGGAATTGCCTGAAAGACTTTTTTTTTTTAAATACTGATGTCTGGTCTTGAGTATGGACCCATTAAATCTAAATCTCTGAAGGGGTGGTCAAGAAATCAAAATCAATGTTTTTAAGCCATTGTTCTCCACTGCCAGTTTTGAGAAACAGTATTTTAGATTTTAAGAATTGCAAATTAATTTCCATGGGCTTAAGTCCAATGAGGAACTGGTCTATTAGAAGTTCCTCTTGAGGCAATAGTCCCAGAGGATCATTCTCAGACAGAAATAATATATTCTATTAGTTGCTGCTCAAGAAAATAGGGATTAGGAATTTTCTGGTCAAATTGAATGAAAATGGTGACAAAGACCTTTGCTTTCAAAATAGTCAAATCACCATGATTGTTTCATATCACAGTAAGAGGTGTCTGCCGACAGAAGGCTTTTTGTTCTATGGTAATAGTGATGTTTAATGTGCTGATGTGCAACATAGAAAGAATTCTCTTATAAGTAAATATGATCATGTTTAGTGATATTAGGAAGTGCTTTATGGAGAGGGAGTGTTTGAAAATGATAAATGTTCTGTTTTCCAGGAAGGTAATAACAAGATGCTTATGCCTAGTAGGGAAATGCTATTTTTTTAGTTTGGCTCCTGTCGGGAAGTTTCTCATTAGTCCGTGTAGAGTGCTTTACCAAGATGTTATCGTGTAAGTGACTTAAATGACAGATATTTACTTTGCACTGTTCTTCAGGCTGGGAAGTTCAAGATACAGAGTACAGCAGATTCAGCAAGTAGCAAGTTTCTTTTCCTGGTTTTTAGATGACCTTCATTTCCTTGTGTCCTCACGTAGTGGAGAGAAAGCAAGCTCTTCTGTGCCTCTTGTTATCATGCGGCTCTACCCTCATGATCTCTCCTAAACCTAATTATCTCCCAAAGGCTCCATCTCCAAATAGTATTTCCCTGTTGATTAGCATTTCAACATAAGAATTTTGAGGGAACACAAACATCTAACTCACAATGTAGACTTAATAGACAGACAGATGGCGCTGTGCATCAAGAGAGCTTTCACGTCCCAAAGAAGAAAAGCAAAATCCCATAAAACTCAATATTGGCGACAGAGCAGCAACACTGAGCAAATAGAGAAGGGTGTTTCTTAGGGTGGTAAGTAATCAGGAGCAGGCAGCTGCCTGTGCATTAGAGGGAATGAATCACCATTGAAATATCATTACTGCACAGCAGTACCTAAAAGAAAGTTTTGAGTTATTTCAGAAGTAGAAACTGAGTGTTTCTAAAAACTACTCGTGGACTTGATAGGAGAGAGGGACATTGACACAGAGGCTTGAATAAACAAGAATGGGGACCTATTAGGCTTTCTCCAGTTCTTCAGTTACTTGTGGAATTAGAAATTCTTAATGGAGTCCCATTTATTGTCACTTTTATAGTTATTACTAAGTTCATTTATTTTCTTACATCGTTGTTCATTTTGATACAGTATTTGATTTCTTCCATGAGGTTAAATAGTTATGTTAGAGAGCTGTGTACTTACCAGTCTGTGATCCTTATTTTATAGTGTGAATTTAGACAATGTCCCGAAAGGCCTGACTTAAATCACCCAATGATATTTTTATCAGGAGATTTCACAGTGAGTAGCTTGTATGTAACAGGTACAAGCAAAATGGATATATTATAAAATGAGAAAACAATATGTGAAGAAACTTCTAACAAAACTATCCCTAGAATTGCTATTTATATTAACACAGTATTTGGTTGCAAAAGACCACCATTGAGGCCAACATGCTATTGTGATTTAAATCACTATTCGTTTTCATCACCTGTGTAAATTCTTGAGCATAAATTCCTGTTTATGCTCATCCCTTCTGTTTATGCTTATCCCTTTGGTCTCTGTAAAAGGGAGAACTACCTATGATATTATACACCTCACAGTCTGTAATTGTTGATTTTTTTTTGTTTGTTTGTTTCGGGTTCTTACAGGACTGCAGGGCCTCCAGTCTATTGGATGCATACTCAGGCGTGTTGTGTCATCAAGCCATGATCCTATCCATGAACTCCAGGTATAAAAAACCATGATGCTCTTTTATTTCACTGATTATCTTTAAAATGTAATAGGTAAAAATCACAATTGTGGAAAATAAACTATTACTCCCAATTCCAATATCCTAATTCAGCAACTATTATTTCCCTCTTTCTCGTGATCTTTCCCAATCTATAATCCAGTTATCAAAGAAACATGAACAAGTCACACATTCAATTTCCTGCACCACTTTTAATTTTGACATTATTTTTATGTTATATTTTTATTTTATTTTATAATTTCATTTTAATGACAGCATATTCCCAATTTTTAATTTTTCAAAATTTTATTTTACCAGTATTTATAACAATCATTTTGAACACAAAAGATTTATCTCTGAGAGAAGGTTATCTTCTGGGAGAGAAGGTTCTGATTTAGACAACAAGCAACTATGAAAATGCCTTCTGCTGTATTATTTTGTACATGAAGATTCATTCTTGCTCTATCTTCATACACGTATCTGCATAATTTAGTGACATAAATACATTTTATTTGTTTCTATTAAACCCAATTAGTAACATGCTGCTCTTTTTTTGACTAATGGAGTCTTTTTTAATTTTATTAGTTTCTACTAAAGTCTTTCTTCTCTTTTTAAATCTTATTTGAAAGTTGCCAGTGAAGATTGTTGTATTTATTATCATCCCTTTTCCTCATTTTAAAATATATCCCTTTTGATTTATTTGAGTATATTTCAGTTCTTTCAAAGTCTTAAATTATAACTTAGTTTACTTTTCTCTCATTGTAAATGAGAAAAATTCTTGAGTATCAAGTTTTGTAAATATCTTAAATTTTTCTAATTTTTGAAATGTATTTATCATTGTGCTATTTACAAGTGAGAACATAGATTCTGTTAACTTTTGAAACTGTCTATGACTGAATATTGATAAATTTTGTCAATATTTCATGGTAATACTTGTTCTATCACTCAATAAAATTTATTTCTAACTACTTATTAGCTATATTGAAAAAATTTCTTCTGCAGAATTTTTGCCTTTACCTACCGTATACTGATAATTGACTGCTTAAATCTTCTCTTGAAACTGTTTCCATTTCTCCTTGTAGCTTAATAAATGTTTATCCTTGTATCTTTAGTAATTTTCTTTAACAATTTGTTTCCTTTGTAGGCTTAATGAGTTTTATAATCTGTGATTTTAATTATTTTTTAGCAAACTTTTAACTTTGTTCCTATGTGGTTCGGGAGGTTGCACTCACATTATTTCTTTATTACTATGTCTTTTATTATTTTGTAATAATTGTGTACTATTAAATACTCTTTTATTTGAATTAAACATTGTGTCCTCCTACATTTGAATTTGAATTAAACATTGTGTCCTCCTACAATGGCCCTCTTGGTTTATTTCTCATAATGTTTAATATAGTTTCCCAAGCTTTTGTCAGTAGAAATCTACTTTTAATCAATTGTGATTCTTGAAATTAGACATGCAAAAATACCTACCTTGTTCTACTTATCTTACATAAGATATATTACTTTATAATAAAAATTAAAATATTTCCTAGTAAATTTTGGTAGATTTGTTCTACCTCTATTTTTGACTTTACTATTTGAAAGAAATATCTCAAAAATTAACAAAAACACATTCATACAGCAATTTAGTGAAAGCTTTTTTTTTTTTCCCTCAAGTTTCTATACTACCTCGTTGTACATCTTAGACTGTAAAAATATTTACACCACAATTGTTAATTCTGAGACGTCACTGGTTGTAAAATGCATTGGTAATTTAATAACTGCACTTTCAAAATAAGCTATAGGTAGACAATAATTGTATACCTGCTGACAGTTGCCCATGTTGACCCATAGATATACATGTGACTTTCTTCTTTAATATCATGTTCATATCACCAAAGATATTTAACTTTTTGTCTTCTTCACATTTAGAATTTGAAGATCCCTTTTCCATCAACAGTTTGCATGGAATCAGAGTATTATTTTATTTTCCTAATCCTTGTGCATATCTTGGTCCATTTTAGCATTTTTAGGACTGGAAATATGATTTCAAAGTACATCAAAAGACACTATCTTCATCACTATCTTCTGTTTCATCAAAATTTTAATTTATATATTTTTTTTACTAAACCAAATCAAAATCATAGATCCTGGAAGTTAGTACCTTCAACTGAAAATAGTTGTTTGGAGTCTGATAATCCATTAGAGATATGAATTAGCTAAATAAATCTTTCCAAGATTTGAAAATAATATATAGTTGACTCTTGAACATCCATGGGATTAGGAGTACTGATCCCCAAACAATTAAAAGTCCAAGTAGAACTTTGGACTTCTCAAAAACTTAACTACTAATTGCCCACTGTTGACCAGAAGCATTATGGGTAACATACATAATTGATTAACATGTTTTGCTTGTTATTTGTATTATATACTACATTCTTACAATAAAGTAAGTTAGAGGAAAGAATATATTTTTAAGAAAATTGTAAGGAGAAATGCATTAATAGTACTGTTCTGTAGTTATTTATATATTTACCTTATATTTAAAAAATTCACATAAAAGGGAACCCAAGCAGATCAAAACAATATTGTTCAAGGATGGACTGTGTATTTCAGGAGATTTTGTTTCAAGTGGCAGATTTCCAGTAGAAATCACAGGAGTTCCTACCTTACCACCTATACCACCATTTTTAAAAATAATTTTTAAAAAAAATTTTTTTAAGATTTATTTTTATTTATATAAGAGCTGGGGTACAGGCCAGAGTCGTGGGAGGGTGGGAGGATTCACCAGAGACAGAGTGAGGAGCAGAACAGGCAGACAGACCGAAAGCACTAGTGAGGGGAGCAGCGGGAGAGGCAGGAGAGGTCTACCTTGCCATGTGAGATTCTCTCTGGCCTGCCGGAATTGAACAGGCGCTGTGGAGGCTGCGGACAGCTTCACAGTGCTGTGTTCAATCATCTGCGCCACCGGGGAGGCCCTAAAAAAAATTTTTTTTCAACTTAAAAAAATTAGGAAAGACCAGAATCTACGTTGCACATACCAAGGAATAATAATGGCGTCACAATTTATCTTTTTATCTACTGATAGGCGGTTTTCTTTTACAATAAGGTAGATGGAAGATCCACCCCAACATTAAAAATACTAAAATGTAAAAACAAGTATCACTGATTAGAGAAAAAGTAGTTCAACTGCCTTCGCATGGCTTTGTGGGCTTGGATGGAAATGTAAGCACTGTTTACATCATAATATCTAAGAAGAACTAGATTTTTGATGTTTAAATAATTGATAACTGCCATTTTTACATAGAAATCAATTCCTTTATATTTTAAGCACCGTTATCACTTTTGTGAAGATATTTAAAACCCATGTATTATATAAAGCCAAATTCTGGGCTTTATTTTCTAGTACATTCTCTCCTATCACTAGGAAAAAGCCACTGAAGTTCAGTTACATTTTTCCCTCCTCAAGTTAAGAGTAGCACTTTTTTTTGTCAGCTTTGTGGATCCCTTACTACAATTTAAATCTCAACTGAAGATAATAAAGTCATCTTTTCATATGGTGTTTTCTATGCCAACTATGGACAAAGTAATAGAAATGGGGAAAAGTGAAGATGATGAAGAGGACCTAGAGGTATGATTTTTCTTCCTTGAATTGCGACGTGACACTGTTATTCACCCTGAAACCCCACAGGGTGTCTCTAAACAGGTCATAATCTTTTTTTTTTTTTTTTTTTGGTTCAAAAAAAAACTACAATGTTTATTTAGCAATAACTTTTTTTCTGGTCTAATTTTTTTTCATTTTTATTTTGTATAGTTTCATCTTTATTTATTTTTGTACAATGAACTAAGGTGTTGACCCCCATAAAATAACCACCACCAAGACACCCATGAACTGTCACCATGGACTTTTGTGCTCTTCCCTCTTGTTTTGATCCCTCTCCCTCCCCCACCCCTGCTGAATGGCTCTGATTTAGTTTGCCTGCTAGTTTTGTCTTTATTTTTCCTGATCCCTTGTATAGTTTCTGTATATTCTTCCTATAAGTGAGACCATCCGATATTTTTCTTTTTCCTTCTGACTTATTTCACTGAGCATAATCCTTTCTAGCTCCATCATGTTCTTGCAAATAGCATGAGTTTATCTTTTTTGATTGCTGGATAGTTTTCCATTGTGTATATATAGCACATCTTCTCCGTTGTGAATAATACCAAATCTTCTTGATCTGTTATCTGTTTTTGGGCATTTAGGTGGTTTCTATATTTTAACTATTGTAAATAGTGCTGCAATGAACACAGGAGTACATGTTTCCTTCTGAATTAATATTTTGGTGTCCTTTGGTTAGATTCCTAGAAGTGGAATTGCTGGGTCATATCTTGGGTCCATTTTTAGTAATTTGAGGGTCCTCCACACAGCTTCTGAGAGTGGTTGGACCAGTTTGCATTCCTACCAGCAATGTAAAAGGTGAACAAGCTATAATCTTTGTTGTTTTCTCTTACATTCTTTTAAATATAAGACATACTTGGTACTTTATAGCAGTAATCTATACCTCTTGAAACTTTGTGAGTTCTGTAACCTGTGGATTTAATGGATTGTATCTGATTTATAAGAACAAATGGGTGAGGTGATTTTAGCAAGGGTTAGCAAGAATAAGGAGTTTATTGGCAAGTGCCACAAAGAAGGTAATAGGTACAGGGAATGGTGGGGGTAGGAGTCCTATAGTCAGATTGAGAACTTCAGTGGTCTCTTTTTTCTCAATATAGCTACACGGTACACTTGCCCTTTAAAGTGGAGAAACAATTCATTGTCTATGGCGTTGGGTGATCACCATAGCACCTTACTTCCTTATCTTCAGTTTATGGATAGAACTTAGGACATCAGAATGCAAAAGTATAGACAGTAAGTAAAATTTTATCTGAAGCTGGTTGATCAGGCAACTGTATAATTTTTTGTTTTTCAGAATTTATACCTTAGTATTTTAAACATCTTTGAGGACATTCTTCTGATCTTAGTGTCTAAAGACCTCTACAAACTGCAACTCTTAAAGGTAAAGGAAAAATAAATGGTTTTGTTTTCTTGTCATGAGTCTAAAGTGCTCACAACATTTCACTTGTTATTTCTCATTTTCCTTACCTACATCTTCAAATATTTATTTGGCAGCTGAAATTTTTTCTTTGTCTCCTAGGATGTGCATTGATTCCCAAAAGGAAATCACTTCCTTTTATTTGAATTAGAGAAAGACTTTTAAAAATATAGTCCTAGGAAGATGGCATCAACAGGCACTTGAGAAACCAGGTGGCAATAAGAGAGTGAGCAGGGTTTGGGATAGCAGAGAAGATTAGTTTGATTGGCCAAACTACCTCAGAACCCTGTACCAGTGAGCCACACAGTGATGGTGTCTGTGTGCTTGCTTCTCCTCCAACAACTCTGGGGCTGGGGAATCCCATGAGCATTCTATCTTCATGGATACCAGAGTATGAGAGGAACAGGAATCTATAAAGACAAAAGGAATGTAAGGGAAAATGGACCAGTTTTGTTTCTTAAATAGAATATCCTTATAGTCTTAAAAAAAAAAAAAAAACAGACAATGTGAGGGAAAATAAAATATGTTGTGCCAATTTGGGCACAACAACAAATTTGATCTAAAAGTTTCCTGTGCATTTAAAATAATTAATTTCACAACCCTCTAAAATAGTTATTATTATCCCACTATCACAACTCCCTCTCCATGCATCCTCTTTTAACCAGCCTAAGCTGATCACTGATTATTTACTCTATGTCAGAAACTAAGCTGAACACAGTATATGAGATATCTCACTTAATTCTTAAAATAACCTTATGAACAAGCTACTATTATTTCTCCCATTTTGCAGAGAAGAAAATGGAAGCAGGGAAAGGAGTTATATTATGTGCAAAGCTAATAACTGAAGGAGCTAACTTGGGATCTTGTTACTTGAATACCTTGTTGCTGTACTTTGTCTACAAGTTCTCCGACTCATTAAAAAAAAAACCAAAAAATTGAAATCTCACTCCTGCAAGAAAGCATTACCCATTACCCCTACCTAAACTCAATGGGGGCAAATGAAAGGGAAGAAATTTGGCCTACCACTAGCACACATGCCATAGACTCCAGCAGACTGCCTTAAGAATTCTGTAATGGCTGGCATGTGAGGGACATACAATCTATTTCCCTTTCCAAGGTTATAAATATGTCCCTGAGTTTGAGATTTAGAACAAATAGAAGTTACGACAAGACAGATAGAAATCAAAATTATCAAGAACTTTCTAACCAAGCTGCCTCCAGGAATGTACTCTGCAATCATGAGCCAGAAAATTCTGGGTGGCAAATTTCCAGAGGAAGTTCTAGGATCAGATGACATTTTAAGATCAGATAACATTTCAAGTCTTATTTTAAACTGAAAATCATATTTTGTGATTTAAAAAATAAAAGACTATGAATTTTGTGAGAAAATGAAAAGGAAGTGCAACTTAAAATCCCAATATAACCTCATGTTACATTCTTCACAATGCCTGACAAAGTGACTTCCCCAGTGAACATTAGTAAACATGTGTGTAATATTAAATAAAAACAATGCAGGTGAATTTAAATAACCGAACTTACAGAAAAGAAACAGACTGATTGCTAGTTGCAAGGAATACGGGAATAGGGAGATGGGAAAAATGGGTGAAGGTAGCCCAAGGTACATATTTGAATGTTGCTAAGAGAATAGATCTTAAAATTTCTTGCCACAAGAAGTAATTGTAATTAGGTAAGGCAATGGGTAAATTAACTAACATTATGGTAAATGTTTCTCAATATATACATGTATATGCATTAAATTAAATTATAAAATCAGCATGTTATATGCCTTAAACTTTCACAATGTTATATGCCAATTATATATCAATAAAGTTGTAAAAAAAATCTAAAAAAAAAAAAAACCCAGGTGTACATAGTGCACAAGATCAAGCAGTATACTAGATGCTTGTTGCATTTTTGAGATAAATGTAGATTAGGTGTGAAATAATCAGGAGATCATGGGGCCCTTGACATGGTGATGGTGGAGAGGAGAAGGAAGGAATTTGTGGAAATGGACACGTGGTCTTAGAATGATTCTTGTGTTTTCAACAGGAAATGATCACATGGATGAATACAGATAGGTCGTACATGCAGGAACGAGTGGTGGCCATCATCAGCAGGGTGCTAAGTTTTGCCTCCAGAAAAGTGAGGGAATGTGTAAGTCACAGAGTACAGTCATACCACCTACCCTGGAAGGCTGTATTTCTATAGTCCTGCTTTCTAAGACTTGTATTTTCAGAGCATTGAACACCTGCCTGATATTATTGTGCTAATAGGCTGGCCTAGTGGAAATGGAGTCAGCATCCTACATGACTATGTCAATCAGAACAGAGTTCCTCAAACAACTAATTAAGGTGCCTCATACTTTCTACACAGTGTGAGTGTCAAAACTAAACTTTTGTGGATTCTGGATTCTTCTGTATGGCCCATATCAGTGTTAATTGTGACCTTACAAATTCTGCCATCCTTACTTTCCCCCTAATTTTCCCTTTTCCTAAAATATGTTTAAACCATTATTTATTCACCTTCATTTTATACAAGTAATTTTTAATTGGTTTCATTGGAAAACATGCTAGAAATAGAGCAGACATCTTCTTTACTATTCTCTCCACCTGTAGCCATGTCGGTGTGATGTGTATCCTGCCAAACAGCTTTCTACCTACATATCCACACACTAGTATACAGCTTTACTACTCAGTGTTTCTTTACTAAAACTGCATCATATCTACATATTATTCTACAATTGGCTTTTGTATTTGAACAATACATCCTACTGATGTTTTTATGTCAATTGGTGTATTGCATTTCATTATTATAGCATAGTTTTGTTTGGTTTTTATTTATTTATTTTTAAAGATTTATTTGTGCATACAAAAGCTGGGGTACAGGCCAGCGATGCGGGTGGTGAGAGGATCCACCAGAGACAGAGTGAGGAGCAGAACAGGAGGATCTACTGAAATACACTGCTGACGGGTGCAGCGGGCGAGACAGGAGAGGTCTGCTGTGCCTTGTGGGTAGCTTCCTGACGGGGATCGAACTCGTGCTGCAGAGCCTGCAGATTGCTTCATAGTGCGGTGCTGAACCCCTTGCGCCACCAGGGAGGCCCTATTACAGCATAGTTTTGTTGTATTATAACCTACTTAACTATTCTTGAGTTGATGGATATTAAATACTATTTTCATTTTTTCTACTTCAGATAATTAAAAATAGCCATCTTTGTGCAAGTATGTACTTAGAAATACTTAGATCAAAAAGTATGACTAAATTCAAGTGTAAATGCACAGTTGATTCAGGTTGTTTTCCTGTGACTGTTAGTGTCCATCTCCCCACACCTTCACAAACACTGGGATAGTATCAGACTTTTTAATTGTTGCCTTTCAGATGGAAAACAACTATGTGTATCATAACTGCCAAAGTTTACTGAGGTTTTCTGTATTTTGAAAGACATCATGGCCTGCCTTCAAAGAGTCCTGATACTGGCCATGAGAATCTCTCTCATGGGTACTACTATATATTCAGCCTTTGTTTCATAACTCCTCCTTCACTGTGATTTTTAAACATCTTCCACTAATTGTCTGATGGCTTGAGTCATTTCAGAAGTTCAGAATAAAAGGGGAGATCATGATGAAGTATATACATGGTATCTACAATGTTGCCCTCTGAAAATTACATACTACTATAAACTGAAGGCCAGAAACATGTATCTATAATGCCATCTTCATCCATTTCTGCTCATGATGCTATCAGTATTAATTTTCAACTCTTGCATAGTCTCTGTATATTGAGACAAAAAGCCTAGATTGGACTTACCCTGAATTTTTACTATGTTGTTTAAAGTTAGCTTTGGATATGCTATAATTTACTTAAATGGGGAAATACAGTACATGATGTTCTTTGTATCACACTGATTCCATATTTCAGTGTCCAAAAGAGAATTTATGACTTGATTAAATGTTCTGATTCCCTGCTCCCGGAATATAGCCTCCCTCTATAAAATGGCTCAAGTTATCAGTTTATCATAGGAAATTTGCAAGTGAGGTTTAAGAAATTTGCAAGTGAGGTTTATCTGTAACTCACCATCAAGCTAATCTTGTACATAGTTCCTAATACATTTTACACAGTCAGTGTTCACATACTTCTCCTTGTATTTATGTTTGTGTGTGTATGTGGTGTATACATATATGTATGTATAATAGATATAATTATACATATAAATATATATTTCTAATGAGTTCTACTTGGGTAGCAGGAAAGACATTAAAACATCTGGGGTTTCATCTTTTATTACCTTTTCTCTTTTCATTACATTATCCCTTGCACACATATCACCCCTCAACTCTGAAAAAATAAACATATAAATTCATACGTGTAGCCAAAGTCTCTTGGACATTGTTGAGGGTTCTCAGCTGTAACAGATTTACTTGAAAAACTAAATGGAATAACCCATTACTCTGTTCTGCAGTTTTCCCCAATTACCACCAGGTGGAAGCACACCAGCATTTTCCAGAACTTGGAAATGAGAGGTATTGCAAATCAGCTCTTCATAGTCATAGACACTTAAAACTTCACTGAGTTAACTTTATCTCCCAAACAATGCCTTCTAAAGATGGTTAAGTCAATGATATTAATGACAGAGGTGGTACAAATATATAAAATAAAACAATAAAAATATTTTTTAAAATTAAAATCATCCCTAAAATGACATGTTATCTTACAGCTTTAAGAGCAAGAGATGTTCCCAACGATTATTCCTTTAGCACATCATCATTTAAAAGACAAGTGCAAGATTTCCAGTCAAAAATAACACTGTCCACATGCATTTATCCCTTTTCCCTCCAGAGTTCTCACAAAAGGATGGTATTGAAATCCAGTAAAGGTATAAATCCACAACGAAGAGAATTAATAAAGAATTGCCAATGGGCTGGCAATGCCAGAAAACTTCTGGATGACAGAATAAGATTTAAGACAGAACTGACAAAGCCTGGTGGAAGCTGCAAAGCAGGGCAAATGGATATGAGGATGGGTGACAGCTGAAAAGGGAGGCAGTTTGCCCTGTGGGATACTGGAGAGGCTGAAGCTATGGAAACCCAAGTAATGTTGATGGGTGGGAGGTAAAGGAAGGCTGAAAGTGTGCCTTAATGGAAATAATTCATTCAAAGTTTATACAGAGGACTCCCGGTTGCCTCCAGTCCCCCTTTACATACACCCCATGTCTCACGGACAGGAGTACAGTGGCAGGCTAATTTTGAGGGGCATTTTTTCCTCAAAACAGAAAACAGTTGTAAATTCCCTGACAAAATAACCTTGATTCTGTTATTTAGATAAGCTACAGCAAGCCTCCCCACTTCCACCAACCATTAGAATGAAAATTCCACCAATTGACAAGCCTTGCTCACAAAGCCTCAGCAAGAGGTAACACATTCTTTTTTTTTTTTTTTTTTTGTGGGACCCTCGCCAGCGGCTGGGAAACGAACCGGTGCTGCAGAGGCTGCGGGCCTCGCAGTCCGCTCAACCACTGTACCACCAGGGGAAGCCCGTAACACATTCTTAAATAGAACCAGAAAAGCAAGCTTTGGCAGACATTTGATAAAACCCTCCAGCCCAAAGTAAATAAAGAGGCTACAATTACTATCAAATATAGATAATTCAAGATACATATACGAACCTAGTCTCGAAAAGAGTACAAAAGAACTATTTATATACCAAAATGAAATTTAATTATAGTGAGCATGGCATATACATTGAACACTCTTACCAAGAATAATAAGACCACGTTATTGACTTTCTACTTTTTAAGATCTATCTATAAGCTGATCTTAAAAGGCAAATGAGTTACTGAATGTAATACAAATGCTGCAAACTCAACAATGCAAAAATGAAAGTGCAGGAAATAATTTAGTGGTTCTTCAACAAGTTAGACAGAATTACTGTTGACCCAGCAATCCTGGGTATATATCCCAAAGAATTTAAAACAGGTGTTTAAACAAAACTTGTACAAAAAATTTCATAATAGTATAATTCATAATATTCAAGAAGTATATACACCCAAATATCTATCAACAAATGAATGTACAGGGGCCTCCCTGGTGGCACAAGGGGTTGAGATGCAGCACTATGAAGCTGTCCACAACCACTGCAGGGAGGTGACCCGGCCAGGAAGGCGACCCACATGGGGCAGCAAACCTCTCCTGTATCGCCTGCTGCTCCCCTCAGCAGTGTATTTCAGTAGATCTGCCTGTTCTGCTCCCCACTCTGTCTCTGATGAATCCTTTCACACACACACACACCCTGCACCTCTGGCCTACATCCCATCTCTTGTATGCATAAATAAATAAATCTTTTGAAAAAACAAACGAATGTACAAATAAATGTGGTCTATAGGCTTATAATGGATTATTATTCACCATAATAAGAAATGAAGTCTGATATATCCCACAACATCGATGAATCTTAAAAGCATATTCATGAAAGAAACTAGAACCAAAAGGCTACATATTGTATTGTATTCCATTTATATGAAATAACAGAATTTCTGGTTGCCAAGGAACAGGAAGAAGGGGGAATGAGGAGTGACTGCTTAAATAATACAGCATTTGCACTTGAAGTGATGAAAACGTTCTTAATGGTGATGGTTGTTAAACACGGTAAATGTGCTTAATGTTGTTAAATTATATAATTTAAAATTTTTTAAATGGTACATTTTATACTATGTATGTTTTTACACACAAAATAAATAAATTAAATATAGGCAACAGAAGTAGCGAAGTAATAGTGCTAGAAGGATGTTGAAGGGAAATAAGAGGGCTCTAAAATACTTTATAAAATAGGACCTCCCTGGTGGTGCAAGCAGTTGAGTGCCTTATTGTGAAGCTGTCCACAGCCTTTGCAGCGCAGGTTCGATCCCGGCTGGCCTGCGAGAATCCCACATGGCAAAGGAGACCTCTCCTGTCTCGCCCACTGCTCCCCTCAGCACTTCAGTCTGCCTGTTCTGTTCCCTACTCTGTCTCTGGTGAATCCTCTCACCCTCCTGCACATCTGGCCTGTACCCTGGTTCTTGTATAGAAATAAATAAATCTTTAAAAAAAAAAAAAACTTTATAAAGTAGAGGATCAACAAGAAATCATTTTATCATGAAACAAGAAATAAAAGTATTATCCTATTACTAAATCACAATAATAAAAGTGCTATAAACAGTATCATACTGTAATGGGTGGTATACTACATGGAGAGGATTGTGGCAAAGTGGAAGGATGTAATTGAGTGCTACCTTATTTGATCATAGTAGGAACAGATAGATAATGTCCTTTACTGATGTAGAACAAAAACAAAAGCCCATTGTTTTGAAACATAGAAGTGAAATCCAGAAGAAGCAGCCAAAACACCTAGAAGTGGTTGCTTCTGGAATTTACCACTTAAAGTTATAATTATTGTTAAGGGAAGAAAACAGAGGGGCTAGGTCTACATATTGATAGAAGGAATCCAATAATAAAGAGCCATAAAACTGAGCAGAAGTAAAAGCAAAGTTATATTGTATTGAAATCTCCCAAAATCTTTGTGCTTGAGGGGGCATCACTGTGGCTGGCTCCCCTGTGAAGGGCTCTTCCATGGGCACCATGGTTCACTCAGTCTTACTCCTCCTTTCCTGAGCAATACCTCAACCCCTTAAATACTCCGTACAGTTCAGGCATGGTCATCCCCACTCTGCTAGATATACATGTCTAGACAGACCTTATCTGGAAAGCAGAATAGAGAGACCCCTAGCAGCTTCATTTACAAAAAACATCTGCTAAGAATTACATATACACAAGTTCATAAGAAGGCATAATCAGAGAGGATATTCAAAGCAAAAATTACAACACATTAAGACTCTGAGGCCAATTCCCTGTAAATAGTCTCCAGCCACCATGAGCTAATCTGTGAGGACAGCTGCACAATAGAGAAACAGAACTCCTTGCCTTTGTGTTAGGCCCAAATGCAAATGCAATGGTGGTTCTTAAAATCTTGCCACTAAATGATAAAGGAAATGTGGAATGTCGATACATAGAAGAGAACATCCAGTGAAAGAGCATTTCCTGCAGGGACCAGAGTGGAGGTAACCTCTATTCTATGGGATTCTTGAATTAGGGGGAGCCCCAGCCCAGTTTTACAAAGGAGTATGGGCGGAAGAGTAATCTAAGAACATCCATAGAAACAAGAATAGTTTTTTGTTGTAGCTGTTGTTTTTTAAATCCTCCCTTCTCCTACTGAGAACATCTCTCCCACTATTGTAATTCAGTTATGTTTCTGTCCATAACTTAGGTCATTTCACATTCTTCTTCAAGAATGATTTTGTGTGTGCATGTCTGTCTGTGTATTTGTGTGTGTGTGCGCGTGAGAGAGAGAGAGAGAGAGAGAGGAGGGGTGGGTGAAGTCATATCAGATACAGGGATAAGGGAGCATGAGAGAAGATAGAAAAAACAAAAGAGAAGGTAGAAAAAGGCAGACACAGGTGTTGGGATTCACCTAGAGGGTTAACTTGGACTCACTTTTACTACTAACACTTCTCCAAGCATCAAATATCATTTTAAGAAACGTAGTCACTTGCCTTAGAGACAAGAAGACTGGACAGAGTCCTTTTTTGTTAAAAACAAAAGCACAGGTTAAAGTATTCATACCTTCATAAAAGAAAATATCTCTCTCAACTTTCCTCTCTCCTTTTGTCTCCATCACCTAAATATTTGAACGGTCAATGTTAAAGAAGTTATGGGGAAGGAGGATTACATAAATGTTGTAATAGTAGCTTTGACATCACAGATAAATTCATTGAGTTTCTTAAATTTAATTTCCTTGAGAAGAATCAGAACAATTCCAGGAGAGAATGTTACATTTCCTTAGTGACTTGTAGTCATAAGAATTGTTTTATGCATGGAGAAGGAAGCATGAGTGTTACTGGATAGCAGCTCCTACCCAGGTATACTGGGAATCTTTTACCTGACTCGTGGAATAAAAACTATTGAGTTTTTATATTTCCATATTCTATATTTATATTTTTATAACATAGAAGTTAGTTGAGCTGCTATTATTTCTCATTGCTTTGCTAGGGCTTTTCTGTTTTGTCTCAAATATTACCCCTTTCATCCCTACTGTAGCCATTACAAGAGAGCACTTATTACCTTTATTTTACAGAAATTGGAAGTCAGTAGCAAACGCAGGATTTGAACAGATTTTGAGAACTCTGAAGCTCATCTTCTATAAATCAAGTCTGAAATGTACATTTGAGGATAAAATGCAGACCTTTAATATTGACTACATATAGCAAATGCATTCTCTCTTTGTTTTTCCACTAGGCAAGTGTTGACGTGCCATGTTTGGGTGTACTGGCAACAGAACTATCTCTTTTGTGTTCCCATCCTGATAGTTCAATCACACAGCAAGCATCCTTAGGAATGTATCACCTCCTCTGTATTGCAAAGTGCCAGAATGGTAAGGGTGACTTACTGTCTTTTCTGAGGGTTGCTAATAATTGACCTTTCTTGTGGGTCCCAGGAAGACATGTCAATGGATTTCTAAATCCTGCCTCAGGGTCTATTGCGCTACTGTTTAAACTGTGTTTTAATCTTTTTAGATTTATCAGAAATGCTGGTAACGGTAAAATTGATTCTTCAAGATCTACGAAGTCCTAGACTTATAGTAGTACTGTGTTTTTGCTAGACGGAGGAAGAACAAAAAAAAGTGCACCAATGGGACTGTAATTTCTCCCCTTTAATGGAGCATCAAATAGAACATGCAGTCTTGCTTCAGAAATGGGGGGGTGTTGGAAATTAGCCCAAGACTGACTGCTACTCTGGCCTGCCTTAAAATGCATGAAAGAAAGACTTGAAAGTATCAAATTATTTCCAAATAACTTCAACAAATAACACTAACTTCAATAGATGACTCCTCCCATAATAAGCAACTATTAAAATTACATACAATATCAAAATGATCTACTTATACATCATAATGTACTATATATGTATATATAATTATTGTTCTCAGGCCACTGTTCATCAGATAATAAAGAACAGAGATTCCTGAGTAATGGACACAAATGAACAAATGAGATGGATCTGTAATTGCCTATTTTACCACCTAGAGTAAGTCTCTAAGCTGCAACATAGAAAGGAGAAATCAATGGTCTCACTAAGTTGAGACAGAAATGGGAATTCAGAGGAGTCAAAATAGCTTAGTGTCAATAAGACAGAGTGCCAGAGAGGTGTGCACAAAGAGACAGCTCCTGAGATCTGCAGAGGGTTCCCGCTAAGTATTTAGGTAAGTAGTAATCAGATCAGGCTTGTGAGAAGACTATGTCAAGTTGGGACCAGGGGTGGGTGGTGGGAACACCCAACTGATTAGAGAAAAATATAGTGAACTCACAAAAGCTGGGAGCAGTGCTTTTTAGCCAGAATCTAAAACTTCATGGGGCCTGCCCCTGAGGGGGGTTGGGGGTGGGGGGGAAGCAAACATTGTTTACAAATGAACAATGATGTAAAAAATATGTGAATAAAAATAAAAAACGTCATAATTCACAGGTAGTAAGAGTATTCAGAAAGATTTAATCTCATTAGAATAAAAATTTATTTCTATGCTCAACTGTTTCAGTGACACTTAATAAAGTTTCAAAACAAAATCTAAATCTGCAATGAGATATTACCACATACACACTAGAATGTCTCAAATTGAAAAGAATGGCTATACCATGTTATTAGAAATGGGAAGCAACTAGTATTCTCCCACATCTCTAGAGAAAATGTGAAATGTAAAACAACTTTGGAAAATAATTAGTCCGTAGAATTACAGGGTCATATGGAAGCTCCATTTTTAGTAGTTTGAGGAATCTCCACACAGCTTTCCATAGTGGTTGGACCAGTATGCATCCCACCAGCAGGGGGGAGAGTCAAATCTACCCAAAGGACACAAAAACATAAATTCAAAAGGATACATGCACCCCTGTGTTTATTGCAGCATTACTTACAACAAGATATGGAAACAACCCAAATGCCCAAAAATAGATGACTGGATCAATAAGATGTGGTATATATATACACAATGGAATATTACCCAGCAGTCAAAAAAAGCTAAATTCATGCCATTTGCTGCAACCTGGATGGAGCTGGAAGGGATTATGCTCAGTGAAATAAGACAGAAAGAAAAAAAAAAATCAGATGGTTTCACTTATAGGAGAAATGTAGAGGAACCAAATAAGGGATCAGGAAAAAAATAATTATAATAAATTAAAAAACAAAATTAACAGACAACTATAAATCAGAGACATTCTGCAGGGGAGAGGGAGGGAGAGGAATCAAAACTGGGGAGGGAAAAGCACAAAGGACCATGGTGAGGGTGCATGGGTGAATTGGTGGTGGGAATTTTATGGGGACTATATGTGAAAGGAGAAAGCATATGTTGTGCAAAGAGGAAGAATGATGTAAAATATATATAAAATAAAAAAACAATAAAACAAAATAAACACACACAAAAAAAATTATTTGGCAATATACTAAAAAGTTGAAATGCACATCTACCATATCATCTGATCATTCCACAACTTAGTATCTTCCTAAGAGAAATGAAAGCAAATGTTCTTACACAGATTTGTGCATAATTGTTGATAGAAATATTATTTGTTTTTTTTTAAGATTTATTTATTTATACAAGAACTGGGGTACAGGCCAGATGCACAGCAGGGTGAAAGGATTCACCAGAGACAGAGCTGGGAACAGAATAGGCAAAAAGCCAGACTGACAAAATACACTGCTGAGGGGAGCAGTAGGCAAGATAGGAGAGGCCGGCTGGGATTGAACCCGCGCTGCAGAGGCTGTGACAGCTTCACAGTGTGGCGCTCAACCACCTGTGCCACCAGAGAGGCCCCAGAAGTATTATTTGTTATAGTCAGAAACCATTCAAATGTCCATCAACAGGTGAATGGTTAAACAGATGATGATACATATACACACAATGCAATAGGTCTCATCAACAGGAAGGAAAGAACTGTCCATACGAGCAACAACATGGATGAATCCTAAATAACCTTAGTGAAAAACTCAAAACCACTAAAGAGTACATACCATATGACTCCACTAACAAAATTAGAAAATACAAATGTGACAGAAAGCAGATTGATAGCTGCCTTTGGATCAGGAGCAGGTGTGAGGTTAAATGAAGACACAAAACTTTTGGAGACAATGTTTTTACTTTTTTATTGAGGTGATGTTTTCATGGGTATACAGTAACTCCTCTCTTAAAATCATCTATAGGTTCTTGGAAACCGTGACTTTAAGTGAAATGATAAAATAAGGAAACCAGGTCCTCAAATAACACCATTTCATTCAACGTATGTCAGGATATCTTTTTTTTTTTCTGTCTCCATTATTATAAAGTGATATTGGATGAAGCAAGGTTATTTGAGGACCTACAATAAACATGCAAAAAAACTTAGCAAATTTCTTTACACGTGTTGTATATAAGTTATATCTCCATAAAACTTTTAAAAACAAATGAAATAATTTGAACCCCATCTTTTCTGGAACCAAAGACATCTAAACCTGAAGCTTTTATGAAAGTTTCTAGCTTCCCTCAGTAGCCTTCCTATACACAAACAATAAATCTGAAGAAGAAGAAATCAAAAAAACCATCCCTTTTATTATTGAAACAAAAAAAATCAAATATTTGGGAATAAATCTAACAAAAGAGGTAAAGGACCTATACAAAGAAAACTATAAAACACTGTTAAAAGAAATAGAAGAAGACACAAAGAAATGGAAAGACATCCCCTGCTCATGGACTGGAAGAATAAACATTATTAAAATGGCCATCCTACCAAAAGCAATATACAGATTCAATGCTATTCCAATCAAAATTTCAATGTCATTCTTCAAAGAAATAGAACAATTATTGATGAAATTCATATGGAATCACAAAAAAACCCCGAATTGCCAAAGCTCTCCTGAAAAAGAAAGAAGGGAATGGAGGCATCACACTCCCAGACTTCAAACTATACTACAAAGCCATAATCATCAAAACTGCATGGTATTGGAACAAGAACAGACATACAGACCAATGGAATCGAATAGAAAATCCAGAAATAAACCCACAGATTTATGGTCAACTAATCTTTGACAAAGGAGCAAAGACTATGCATTGGAGCAAAGAAAGTTTGTTCAATAAATGGTGCTGGGAAAACTGGGTTGCTACATGCAAAAGAATGAAGCTTGACCACTACCTCACACCATACACAAAAATCAACTCAAAATGGATTAAAGAACTAGACATAAGACCTGAAACCATAAAATATAGAAGGAAATATAGGCGAAACACTACGTGATTTGCACATCAAAGACATCTTTACAGACACATCACCCAAAGCAGTGATAGTGAAGGCAAAGATAAACAGCTGGGACTACATCAAATTAAAGAGCTTCTGCACAGCAAAAGAGACAATAACAAAAACAAAGAGAAACCCCACTGACTGGGAGAACATTTTTGCACCCAACACTAATGATAAAGGACTGATCACAAAAATCTGCAAAGAGCTGATGAGACTCAACAACAACAAAGAAAATAACCCAGTCAAAAAATGGGCAGAAGAGCTAAGAAGAGACTTCTCTGAAGAGGAAATGCAAATGGCCAACAGGCATATGAAAAAATGTTCAACATCACTTGTAATCAGGGAAATGCAAATCAAAACTACCATGAGATACCATCTTACACCAGTGAGAATGGCACATATTAAAAAAACTAGCAACAACAAATGTTGGCGAGGGTGTGGAGAAAAAGGAACTCTCCTGCACTGTGGGTGGGAGTGCAAACTCGTCCAACCACTATGGAGAGCTGTGTGGAGATTTCTGGACCTACTAAACATAGAGCTTCCATATGATCCAGCAATTCCACTCCTAGGTATTTACCCAAAGGACACAGAAACATCAATTCCAAAGAGCACCTGCACACCTATGTTTATAGCAGCACTGTTTACAATAGCTAAGCTTTGGAAACAGCCCAAATGCCCAAAAATAGATGACTGGATCAAGAAGATGTGGTACATATATACCATGGAATATTACTCAGCATTCAAAAAAGATAAACACATGCAATTTGCAGCAACATGGATGGCACTGGAAGGGATCATGCTCAGTGAAATAAGCCAAAAAGAAAAAGAAAAATACCGGATGATCTCACTCATAGCAGGAATCTAGAAAACTTAAATAAGGGACCAGGAAAATGAATAACTATAAGAAAGTGAAAATCAAAATCAACAAAAAACTATGAACCAGAGACACTTTTTGGGGGGTGGGGGGCGGGAGGGGAGGGATTGGGGTCAGAATGGGGGGGCTGCAATTGTATGGGGAATATAAAAATAAAATTTATTATTAAAAAAAAAAAAAGAAAGTTTCTAGCTTTCCTGCTATGTAAATTCCCAGCTCTTCACAAAATACCCCCAAGTCTGCTGTTCCACCAATAGATTCCTTAACTGAGCGATAACTTTCTCCAAACAATACATTTGATCTCCTAAATGTATTTGCTATTTGGTCAACGTATTACAATTGCCTACATCATTCATTCACATTCACAGAGGCTACTCTTAAACTTTTTATAAACTCTGGGTCCATGTAGTCATAATATTTTATGTGGTATTAGCAGAGAGTTAAATATTCAGAAAACTTCAGATCTCTAGAGTTAGGCAAGAGGAGGAAATTGAAAAGAAAGAAGCAGTGATTAAATAAAATTTTTAAACTTTTTTCTTACTACAGCGGATATTGCAAAAATTAAAATTGCAAACTATACTAAGACTGGATATCACTATATCCTGCCTTCTCTGTCTGATATGGAATTCCTACCCAATATCTTGCAACAGGACAAAAGTAAAATTGTTCAGGTAACTTAGCCCCATTTTTGTCCTTTTTACTTTTGATTCAGATGCGTTGCTACTTTTAGTGGCAACTTATTTTAACACAGTGTGTATATTTAATAAAATTTTTCCATTTTTAAAAATAATCAGTGAAATAGAGTTAATGGTATATGGAGTATTTGGTTTCCCAAATTTCATCTCTATTAATAAGAAGTATGCCTATTATTTCTGAATATAACAATGTACATTATTTTATTTAATCTTATAGAATGTGAATGAGCTAGGTTTTTCCTAGTTGTGACACTTGTTTTTGTTTAGTTTGCAAATATTAGATCACCAAATATGGGAACTTTTGGTTTTATAGCAAAATTAATGGGTCACCAATTAGCAGGTTTTTCAATACTATTTTAAGTTTCTCAGCAAACATCAGTAATAATATTTAGATTTTATTTTTAAAAACCTATTATTTTTTTTAAAATTTTGAAAAGTTTAAATGATAAATCTCAACACCCGAAAGTAGATTGGAACAGGTGGGTTGAGAGAATCTAAGGCCGCAAGAGGCCCAAAGCTAAGGACACAGCTCAAGGATATAGCTACCCTTGAATGCAGATATAAAGGACACAGATAGGAGGGCAAAAAGCAAAGTTTTTAAGCTAAAAGAACTAAAGCAAACACCACTAAGTGGGAGAACTGGATTGAAAAAAGAAATAGCAGTTCAAAAAGGGGACCCCCTTGTAGAGTGACCAGTTAGAAGAAAGGTCACTGTCTTCTAAAAGAGACACCAAGGGCATGAAAGTGTCACAGATTAAAAAAGAAAGTTCACAAAAATTAGCTAGTAATGTCATCCATGGGAATTTATAGAAAGGAAACAACTCAAAATAATTCATCTATTTAGAAGAGGTTGTTCAATGATGAATGAATTTTTAAAAGGAACTATGTGTCAAGCATGGAGAGGTAAATGTCAATTTGTGGAATATCAGTTAGTATATATGTAACCACTCAAATGAGAGGCATCAAGAATAAATAAAAACATGGTGTAATAGTAAGAAACAAGAAAGAAGATAAGGTGATCTCTAGAGAGTCTAGCTGGTCCTATTTGGTTTATTTCTTAAGAATTAAATGCAGGCCTCCCCAGTGGCGCAGCGGTTGAGCGCTGGGTTGCAAAGCTGCCGGCGACCTCTGCGGCGCCGGTTCGATCCCCGGCTGCTCCCCGGCCACCGAAGGAGGGTCCCACATGGCGCGCAGACCTCTCCTGCCGCCCGCTGCTCCCCTCAGCAGTGTACTTCGGTCTTTCTGCCTGCTCTGCTCCCCGCTCTGGCTCTGGTGAATTCTCTCACCCTCCCGCGCTTCTGACTGTACCCAGTGCATGTATAAACAAAACGAACGAACAAACAAACAAATAAATAAATAAAAACATGCCTCTAAAAAAAAAAATATATTTAAAAAAAAATTAAAAAAAAAAAGAATTAAGTGCAGATTATACCTTATAAAATGAACAGTGTTATTTGATGTATGCTACTATCACTTAACAGAAACTTATAACACTAGCTCTGAGATTTTTCAGAAATTATTTCTTCTACAACTTTGAACCAATAGCTCAACAAAGCTACTGGGAGACCCAGTATAAATTATTAAATTTTTTGTTGAATAAACAATATTTAAAAGAGAATATTTCCCCTTCCAATGATTTTTTTTTTTTCATTTAACTTCTAATATTCTGGTTTCTTAAAATAAAATAGTCTATTTATGATATTCAAAGTCTACCTTGCCAAGCCTCAGTGACCCTTCTTTAACCTTCTTCCTTAACTTCCCTTACACCTTGACCATCCTTTACCCCTCAACCCAACAGGAGGGAACTTGGCGACCATCTGTTCTCACTCAGCCCTCAGTCCTTTCCAAAAAGACCAATGCTACATCCCTTTAAAGGGGAGGCAGATGGGCCTCCCCGGTGGCGCAGCGGTTGAGCGCTGGGTTGCGAAGCTGCCCGCGGCCTCTGCGGCGCCGGTTCGATCCCCGGCTGCTCCCCGGCCACCAGAGGAGGGTCCCACATGGCGTGCAGACCTCTCCTGCCGCCCGCTGCTCCCCTCAGCAGTGTACTTCGGTCCTTCTGCCTGCTCTGCTCCCCGCTCTGGCTCTGGTGAATTCTCTCACCCTCCCGCGCTTCTGACTGTACCCAGTGCATGTATAAACAAAAACAAACAAACAAACCAGCAAACAAATAAATAAAGCATGCCTCTATAAAAAAAAAAAAAAAAAAAAAAAAAATAAAGGGGAGGCAGAAAAGCTTTTATCTGCAAGCTTTATGTGGGAGAATGACATGTAGATACAGACAAATATAGGTATACATACAAATATCTATCTATAGCCTTATCTGTAGATGTAGATATATGTATGAATCTAGATTGATTGATATATCTATGTACATGTAGCACAAGGAGAAAATATGAATTTCTCTTTCTTAATTGAGAGATTTAAATTCATGTAATTTTGTTTATATTTTATGATCCATGGCTCTACCTCTCACTATAAAAAGGAATTATTTGAATTGGAGTTCTTGTCCCTCCATTATGGACCTAATGGGACTTTTTTTAAAATATTTTATTTTATATAATTCTTACACCATTTTTCATTTTTGCTGTTTCTTGATCCTTCTCTGAGAAAAAGAGAAGGCCATGCTCTTGAACTACCCTGCCTTTCATTACCTCATCCATTTCTCCATCTTCTGTTAATCATGCTTGTTTCTAATCTGAGAAACTCATTTCCAAAGCTGAAGGAACTCACAATAATTTCAATATTTGAAAAACTGAATTAAAATTAAGAGGAACCAGGCCTCCCTGGTGGCGCAAGATGCAACCTAGAACGCTATCTGCAGCCACTGACGCATGAGTTCGATCCCTGGCCAGGAGGCTACCCACATGGCACAGCAGACCTGTCTCGCCTGATGCTCCCCTCAGCAGTGTATTTTAGTCAGTCTGCCTGTTCTGCTCCCCACTCTGTCTCTGGTGAGTCCTCTCACCCTCCATACCTCTGGCCTATACCCCAGTTCTTATATGCATAAATGAATAAATCTTTAAAAAAAAATTAAGAGGAACCATAAATAAATAAATTGATATAGGTTAGGAAGTGCTTGTTGAAACCATCAATGTACAAAGCATTGGGTATACAAAAATGATGCAAATTTCTCTTTCAAGTAGTCAATATATAGCAGGTTCACTGTATTGGGATTATACATGTATGAATAAAAAAACAAGTAATTTGGTCACTGGACAAAAAAGAAGAGTTGAATTAGCATTACAGGGTCTTCCCAATGTGAAATGGCTTGGCCTGACTGGGTCCTCACTCTCGCGATTAAAAGGGACTTATATAATGAGACTCAACCACAGTCACACACAAAAAGGGTAATAAAGGTTTTATTTACAAAAGAAGGGAAAATGAAGACATGAATAACTCAGGGAAAAAGAGAGATAAATTGATTAATGTGTCCTACCAGTTTTGTTGGTCTGGAACCCCAATAGCACCAGAAAACTGGCAGAAAAACCAAGGCCCTCATATCTGGTGATATACCAAACCTGGCTGCTTAACTTAACTCCACCCTCAGTTCCCAGCAATCCTCCCTTTGGTGGTAAAGGCATTATGAGATTTGCAGTCCTTAGTGTCTTGGTTCTCTTTGGTCTGGTGTGGGGGTGGGCTCCATAAAACATATTTGTGGAGTTTGTTCAGGACATCCTTTCCTCCAACATTAGGATGAAGTCACTATTTATGATTCCTCTTAATTTTAATTCCATGGGTTTACACTTTTCTCTAGACTAATCCCAGAACTGGCTCATCTAGATGAAAATGTCTTAGTTGCTTTAAACCTCAGAAGAAAAATATATAATTAGGCTTGGATTATAGCCAGGTCAATACCAATACAGTTGTAAAATACAATTTTTAACATTTTTTTCTTCCATCATTGTTCATTTTTGTAAAATATTTGGTTTTATAGGAGGAATATAGGAAATGGAAAAAAGGGTCAGAAGAAAAAAAAACAAAACTATCAATAGCAGGCAAATTATAGATCTGAGACATACAACAAGGAGGGGAGGGGGTCAATTTTTAATATTTTTTTTAATGGAGGAAGAAGCCCAGAACTGCAAAGATGATGAGAAACCTGACTGGCCTGGGCCTTTCAGCTTTCCAGGGTTGTCAGAGGTTAGCTGTCTTTTGTATGTTTATGTAGATAAGCCCTGAGGTGATGGCTCTCTTTTTGTTTTCAGAATTTAGGACTGAGCCTACTGCCACCCATGCTGACTGATTTTGTGTGGGGCCTCCTGAGGAGACTTTCTGCACCTGATAATTTAATAGCCTCTGAGGCAGCGACTCTCCTGACATTAACTCTGGAAGAACACGCCCACAAGGTCACCAAAGTAAGAGACCTGACAACAGTGGAGAAACACCAAGTTTATTCTCAAAAAGTTTTTTCTTGCCTATGTTATAGACCTACTTCTTTTCATATATATTTCTTGTCATTGCTTATTATGCTATTTTAATAAAATCAGGTTTTTTGTGAAAAATTTCAAACATACAGAAACATTTAAAAAAATAATATAATAAATATTCATCCACCAGTCATTTCAAATCATATTTTTCCATATTTACTTCAACAATTTTTAAAGAAGTACGTTGAAAACAATAAAATACAACTATAATTAAAATCCCCTGTGTAACCATTAAGGAAAATTTTTGAGGCCCTTCAGCTGAAGGACTAACTACTTGATGTGTGGGTCAATGTTTACCATTCTAGGCTATTCTTCCAACACATGGCTCACCTTATGGTTTGTAGATTAAAATCTTCTTAATTTTCAGGGGAAAAATAGGTACTTAGTTCCATTGTATTTCTGTTCCATTATTTTGACTTTCTCCTTAAAGGATTTTAATTATACATGTTTTCAATATTGAGATTGTATGTCTTATATAGTGAAATCTACAGTCCCCAAGTAATTTTTTTAAATGGGTGTTTTCCCACTATTCATAAATGCACAAATTTATTCATCATCCAAATAAATATTTTTATTATGTAGTTACATCCATGAATATGCTTTCTGCTAGTGCTTCTTTGGGTGTTAATTGCTTTCTTGGTCATTCTGAGGACTGAATTCTTACATTTATGATATATATCTGAGAAGGTATGCACCTATTCCCCTGAATTACCAATATATACAGTGCTATAAACCAATGTTACCTTAATAATAATAAAAAAGGAAAAATGAAAAACACTGGAAATATTAGAATTCTTGGCTACATGATTTGTAAAAATAAAAAATGCCTTGCTTTAGATGTGGCCATGGAACAGGAAATTCTTTTTGACATGTGAAATTATTTTTCCAGGTGTCTAAGATCGTAGATTCTATTTATAAGCAATTGCGTGAAAATCCTTATCACAGCAAGAGGCATGCCATGTTGCAAGTTGTCACCTTGCTGACACGCACTTCACCGAAAAAGGTCATCTTTCAGCTTATGGACTACCCAGTACCAGCAGACAAGTAAGTCACCCCTTACACTTTTGACAAGTCAGACACACTTGGGTGCACATTTTGATCATTCATGATCAGGTCAGGCTCTGTATTTCTGAAAGAGAAGATTTTCACATCACATGACTGCAAGGCTTAAATGAGACCATGTAGATGATTTGTATCCTTATAAACTCCTGGAACATAAGAAATAACCACTGTCACTAAGACTTACCTGAGGCTTTAAATTGTGTTCTGCTGTATATCCCATAGGAAGAAATTTGTCCTCAAAGTGACAATGTGATATGACATATGGGATAAAATTCATAGACTACTTTTCTTATTTATAAAGGACAGTGTATCAAATAACAAGCAACAACAAATGTTGGCAAGGATGTGGTGAAAAAGGAACTCTCCTGCCTTGCTGATGGGAGTGCAAACTGGTCCTACCACTATGGAAAACAGTCTGGAAGTTCCTCTGTCTACTAAAAATGGAGACACCATATGACCCAGCAATTCCACACCTAGGGATCTACCCAAAGGACACAAAAACAGTCATTCAAAAGAACACCTGTACCCCTATGTTTATTGCAGCACTATTTACAATAGGTAAAACCTGGAACCCCAAATGCCCAAAAATGGATGACTGGATCAAGAAGATGTGGCATATATACACAATGGAATATTATTCAGCAATCAAAAAAGATAAACTCATGCCATTCACAGCAATGTGGATAGAACTAGAAGGAATTATGCTCAGTGAAATAAGCCAGAAGGAAAAAGAAAAATATCGGATGGTTTCACTTATAACAGGAATATAGGGGAACCCAATAAGACATCAGTGTAAAAAAAAAATAATAACAGTACAAAACACAACAAAGCAAAAATGGACAATTATAAATCAGAGACATCCTGCAGCGGAGAAGGAGGGAGAGGGATCAGAGGGAGGGAGGGAGGAGCATAAGGGACTGAGGTGATGGTGCACGGGTGCATTGGTGAAGGAAATTCTGTGGGGACTACACCTGAGGGGGTGGGGGGAAGCAAATATTGTTTAAAAATGAACAATGATATAAAAAAAATGAAAAAATATAGTTTTATTTAGCTTTATTCCCTATTTAGTTTTTCAAATTGATAACTTTATTAACATATTAATTTGCATTTCCACATGAGTTTTTAAGTATTCTGTTTTCACAAGATGGGTCAAAGAGTATTTGGGATGCAGAGAGTCCATTTGTTTTTGCATTGAGCTGGACAGATATTTGAATAACAGTAGGAAATGAACTTGCAAACTATATTTACCATAAGGTCATACTGAAATTATGTCTCTGCTTTCAAGGACAAGTCTTAATGGGATTTTTTGTAAATGGGAGTATCAGTTTGTCTTGGAGTTTTCTACAGTATATATATTTGCTATATAAAGATGTAAAAACCAAGACTCTTCACGATTCACCTCTCTGTTTTAAGTAGGAAATGAAAAACTTAAGGTTCTTATCATGGGATTATATTCACAGCACCTTGATACTGATGTGGCAGGCAGCTGGTTCCGAGTCAAGTGTGGCCCCTCACGTGCTAAAAACCATCTTGTTGATACTGAAAGGAAAGCCCGGGGTAATGACCAGGACTTCGATAGAAAGAAGATATTTCTCTCTCAGTGCTACCAACATGATGCCTGTGGCGGTAAATAGCATGATGAATGTTTCTTTTCCTCAGGGTTCTTCTGATCTTGAAAGTACTTGTCTGCAACAGACTCAGTCATACTTTTTAAATGCAATTCCAATTCTCATTCATTCATTCATCCAAAATATCTATATATATATATTGAGTGCCTTCTATGTGCCACATTCTGATCATGGAGATTACACTTAGCTAAGGGTACACAGATAAGGCACAAATAAATGTCTTATGTCAGGTGATATAAAACTTAGAAAAACTATAAAGTGATGTGAGGCAAAAAACTGAAAAGGGAGGGGTTAGGTGAGTTGGTCAAGAGGATTAGGTGACCACCTGAATGAAGTTAAAGAATGACTCTTGCAGATTCTGGTCAAGAAAGTTCTAGACCAAGAGAAGGGTGTGGTTCCTGGTTCAAAATTGACTTAGTTATAATTACTGAGTAACTGAATGAATGAATATACACACATGTTTCAGGTTTCCTTCAAGGAGGTTGGAAGAGATTTATTTTCTGGCCTCCCTAACTAAGGCTGACTGGGTTTAAAAGGAGATGGTCACATTCTCAGTCCCTTTGTCTTTCCTTTGTAGGCATCCCAGGCTCTGTGCACATTGCTGCCTGTTGGTTCTTATAGGAAAGCAGTGGCTCAGTTCTTTCCCCAACTCTTGATGGCCCTGTTGCTTCAGCTCTTTTACAGCAGCAGACTGAGAATGGTGACAGAGAACAGGCCCCGGTAAGATAGTCACAGTTATTTCAGATTAATAATCATTAAGCTTCCAGCTATCAGCTCTTTCTACTCTCTTGGATTTATGTGGCGCTCTTTATAATCCCATATGGAGCTATCTATTTTTACTCTTTTCTCTCTTCTGAAGGGTACAGCGCCCTCAGAAACATAACTTTCTAAATATCTAGAAGTTAACTGGGACCCTCCTTGAGTGTGTGCAGTATGTAACCACTGCCCAGAAAACAGTTTATTCCTGCCACAATGGGAGGCAGGGGAGTGGAGTGGAGACTGAGAGGAGGGAGAATAGGGAGGGGGTTTAACCCAAAGCCAGACACGTTCTACCGGTGTCATTCACTCTATTAGTCATCCCTTCAAGGACTTATACACATAAGATAAAAATAATATGCCCCATGTGCTTTGTGAAGTGTAAAGTTGATTTGTGGTTGATGATGGGAAATGTGGGTCTGTGATTGTGCACAGTGATTCTATCCACGTAGGCTGTTCAACCTTCCCTTTCACCCAAGGAAGTTCAGTTAACTTTGCTGCTCTCCAGGGATATCTGGACCCTAATGTCTGCCATTTGCCCTCATTGCTGTGGACATCTCAGCCAAGACAAATGCTAAAACACAATGGACTATGGTGAAGGACTATGGGTGCTTTGATGGTGGGTGTGGTGAAATGCATCTAAAGAGGTGTGAGTCTATACCTCTGAATCATATACAGTGTTGTTAGCTAATATCATCTAGATGAAATATATAAAACACAAGCAAGTCCATTAAGGTATTTGATCTACTCTCTGTCCTATAAGCAGGCATCCACCAAATCATCCCAGGTAGATGAGAATATATCCTATTTATTTAAAAAAAAATCAACAAAGAAAATCAGAAGAGAGTTTTAGCAAGTTACCCCATCATATAGCATGTTTTGCTAATAAGTTGTTAATTAGCTGCTGCATAATCAATCTTAGATCTTACAAGCTATAATTTCATTTTAACCCCAAACCCCATACACTGCTAATCAGTGGAGATGAAGAGCATGTTGCAGTCTCTTTCTTAGGAAACATCCTTGTCCCCCAAATCTGTAGCCTGCCCAAAATGGAATGAAAAGGCAGATCTGGGATAGTCATGTGAAGGTCACTATCAGTGATGCCTTGCTCTTCTTCGGGGCCCTAGCTATGCCCAGGATGCCCTGAGAGTTCTGCTGAATTGCTCCGGGCTACAAGAAGTCGATGAGGCGCTGAAGATAAGGAATTGCTGGGAACAGTTTTTCCAGGAGCTGTTTCACAATCATGGAGTCTACCTTGTTGCCAAGTAAGATTAACGGTTCAGTACAGGGCTGTGGTTTCTATCCCATCTTCTCCAACTTTTGTCATTAAGTCATGTTGCAATATACACTCCCATTCCCAAAGCTCTCCCATTGAACTGAATTGCCATTTGATTTCTACTTCTTCATTTATTTTGAGGGGTTTTTCCATTAAAAGAATTTTCTCTTTCCTGCCCTCTTATCTGATGATCCACATACCCAATTAACTTGTCTCTGTGGAACAGTTTCTTTTTCAGATAAGAACTATGGGTAAGTGTTCTTTTCTCCCTCTGTTAGCTGAATTCTGAACTGAGGGATTCTGACCATTAGAGATGTGCTCTCAATTTAGAGAGAGCCAATAAAATCTGTGCTCAATGAGCTCAATACATTTGAGAAAGTGTAATGAAGGAGGATTCCTTTTTCTGATACTCAAAAGGTTTTTTCCTAGCTAGGCCCTTAGTGAACCACAAGCTTGTAATTATAGCAATTGGATTTTCTGATCAAGAAGCAAGATACATGTTGGCCTCAATGACATGATAGGCCATTTGAAGCTGTAACTGACCCAGAAAATACAGCATATATGGTCTCATGGCTCTTAGCATTTTTAAAATGGCATCTTATTCATGCATGGATTTGGTAAAAGCGTGGTAGATCTGCACCCTGCAAGAGGCTAGATAAGAGTCACTCTAAGAGCCATGTGTCCTTTATGGATATTTTGGTCAGTGATGGACTGCATGTGAGGCAGTGCTCCCATAGGCTGTACCACCCAGCCTAGGTGTGTAGTATGCTGCACCATCCAAGTTTGTATTATTACACTCTGTGACAATCACACAGTACCAGTCTCCTAAAGATGCATTTCTTAGATGGCATCTCCGTCATTAAGGGACACATGACTGTACCTTTAAATCTTCTTATTCAAGGTGTAGTCTACAGATGAGCAGCCACAGCATCCCCTGGGAGTTAAAAATACAAAAAAAAAAACCCCTCTTTTTCCTCCCCAAACCTCCTAAATCAGAGCCTATATTTTAATAAGATCCCTGAGTTTAAAAAGTCCTGGTGTAGAGCACTAACCTGGAGTCCTCAAATAAAATCTAGGACACATCACCATTCCTAATCCTGAAGCTACCAACCTCATCCAGGTGAGCATGTCAGAACAACTGTGAACATGTACACAGTCCAAGGGCCTTACGGATAATGACTTAGTGAATCAGAGCCGATCACCTCATCTCCTGAGTAACTCAGGATAGGTCAAAACTCCTTTCTTCATTATCTCATTCAATGGAAGGGCTTGATCTAAAACCAAGGTGATTATGTGGCCATCTTGGATTGCCAAAATTTTTATTTTGTGCTATTTATTTTGGTCCCTTTGGTCAATTTCTTGATAGAAGTTCACACAGGATGCAAGAGACAGGAAAAAGAAGTGACACTAAGGAAACAAAGAAATGATCAGGGGTCCAAATATAAGTAATTCTCCAAAATCTGTGTAGAATTCATAATGGGACTGCAGTGCACCTTCAATTTGAAATACTAGAGCATATCTTTCTTTTTATCTGAGTGATACAAAGTATGTGCAAGAAAATGATTCTCTTCACAACCATTAGCATTCACTGATGCAGAACATTTTCTACTTCTGTGATAATTTATCACCTAATTCTCCTTTACAGAACTCTCAGTGAATATAACTTTCCACAGTTTCCAGAGACCTTGCATTATCTCTACAAGCTCTCAGTGGAAGGTCCTAGAGGATCAGAAGATAGTATCATCACAGTAATATTTCTCACTGAAGTAAGCTTTATTAAGAGACTGCAAATAATCAGGTTCTCATTTCCTCTTCCTATCCAAACTAAAATCAGTGCTCCATACTTTCTTCTCCCTCTCTGAATATGAGTATTACCAAGAGTTAAGAGAATGACAGGCACCTGAAATTGAGGTGAGGTGGAGGTAGATCTGGATTATGGGAGGATTGTCCCTTTCTCCTACTGCAGAAATTGGTTTTTGTCATTTCGTAGGGAGTGTGGATTTGCATAAGCACTAATTATTTTGTAATACCAGTTCATATCTCTGCATGCTTCTTAAAGTACATTGCAAGGTGAGTTTACTAAAGATAGTAGATAACACCCGGAGTTCATGATACTACAGACTGTCTGGTAAAAGAAGAAATGGGTTAAATATCTGAGTAAAATAAAGAGGTAGAACTATATTACTGTATGTGAACATTACACTGGATATTGTAGTGCTACACTAGGTTCAACCCAATTGAGGACATTCCTTTGCTTTTACAAAAGACATATAGAAAAGTTCTATAAATTGAAATTAACTGAGTTAAATATAACTTTTCCGTAAGTGATATATATAAAAATAAATATTGATCTAAAGTGTGATGCCAAGCATTTTCTAAATTTTGAGATGATTTCAAACATCATAGTCAACAAACTATAGAAGACATACCTATTCACTATGCTATCCACTCCTAAAGCTTTCAGAGAAATAACTAAATCATTTTGGTATTCTTTGTGTTCCTGATTTAATGAAAATGTCTTGATTTTTTGACTGAAGCAGAAACCATACATTGGCCTTTAAGTTTTAATTTATTAACTGTTTTATTTCAGCTGCTGAATAACTTCCTCAAGGACCCCTTCCCGGAAGAATTTTTGGTTCTTTTCAGAAACTGGGTCAATGACTCCAATTCTACAGTTAGTAAATTGAGCCTTCAGAAAATTGCCAGCATGGCACCAGTTATCAATGAGGTCTGTGCATGCATGTGTGCTTGTGTGTGTGTGTGTGTATGTGTATGTGTGTGTGTGTGTGTAATTTATCACCTTATTTAAGTACTACCAAATGCTAGTTCAAGTCTCCTTCTAGTTCCAAAGCCCCACCATTTTCTTTCTTTTATATATAGATAGAAAATATCAGAAGCTTAATAACAGCCATCCTGAATGCCTTCCTTTCCAAAGACATGAGTGTTGTAGCTCGGGCCTTGCTGACCCTTCGAAAACTTTTAGGCAAGCTGGACAAGGTGACCTACTCTTCTCTATGTACCAGAATTGCCTCCAGCTACTGCCCTCTGATGGATCATGTGAGTTACAATTAGATATGTGAGATCATTGGGTATTATAGTTCACCTGAAGCTCCAGATGTGGCAATGATGCAACCTTCCAGAATAAGTCAACAGAAGATAATTTTGTATAGAGTTCCCATTCCTTTCCCAGAAATTACAATATTAGTCAGGTAAGTACTGATTTTTTTTAACTACATTATATTATCCTACCCATAAAAAAGAAGTAAAGAACAACTCTGTCCTTGGACGACAGAGGAAATATAGCTTCATGGCTATATATTGGTTTATCCTGGATCTAGATCTGCCTCTTACTAGCTGTGATATCCTCAACAAAGTGATTCATTCCCTTGGTACAACAGTTTCTCATCTGTACAATAAAAAGTAGTATATGTATTCTGGGATTAGAGTTGACATGTATTTTACCCCACAAAAAATGTTTGGAATTATATAAAACACTAATTAAAGTGTTTCATCAGAAAGATATGCCCTTTAAAAAGTTTCATTTTGTGTGGTAAATGTGTTCCCCAAAAGTTGATAACAGTAATAATTTTAGTAAGTAAGAATATTTGGTATTTCATTAAGAGAATCTATTTATTTTTAACAATATCTATAATGAGCTGTTTGTGAACCAGAGAATTATTTCATAGCAAGTGATCTTGCCAAAAGGCACAATATTATTTAATTGTAAAAAGAAGGATTTTATTGGCAAAATTTATGTGAGCTATCTTGTGTATTCTCTAAAAGAACCCTACAGTTAACACATAAGGAAACTATGGCAAACTATTTGATCATGTATATGCAACTAATAAGTAGTTGGTGTGTGCATGTAAAAGAATATTTTCAAAATGAAATCATAAGCCTTCTTATGATTTTTAAAAAAGCTACCCTCTGACTTCCATTTTTTTGTTTTCTAGACTCTTTATATTCCAATCACCTTTCTATTTGGCATAAATAACTCTTGGCATCCCAGTTCTGTGGCATCATGTAAAGAGCTCCCATCAGCATTAACTAGCATCTCTGCAAAGGTTGCATTTGAATACAGTATGATTGCATTATTCTAACCACCTTTGTAGAAATTGGCCCCAGTTATACAAATTATTCCAGCCAATATTTTTAGTACATTATTAAGTACTAAACACCTTCCTAGTTTAATAAAATCACATTTCAAAAGGAATTTTTTTAATGCAACCTGAATTTTGGTGAGCAAATCCTTTTCAAAATCAAAAGAAATGACTCCTTAGACAGAACCAAGGTGAACCTTTTCTAAAAATATGATTTCGTATATGTATACACCTGTATATAAGATACATACATATGTATGTATATGTGCAGTATATAAGATACATACATATGAAGGCATAGACAGATTCAGATTTAAACACAAAGACAGATGTAGACCTAGATATCCCAATGCTTCAAGAAAGAAATCCTAGCAATATCCTCAAATGAGGCCTTTATCCATGTGCATATTTTAGAGTAAAGCAGGCATTCGGAGCATGGCCATTCGACACTTTGGGGAGTTACTCAGAGACATGAACCAATACACCTGGATGCTGCGAGATATGATCTTAACAGGCCTGGTGCCTCTGATCCTGTTTTTGGAGGATACAGAGATAAAAGTAGTTAAAGTAAGTTCTCTGATCTTGCTTTTCTTAGTTTTGCAAAGGATCAGTATTTCCTGTAACACCAGATGAATAGATTCTCATTGACCTTTTTCTACTTCACAGGCATGTAAATTTACATTAGAAATCTGTGTCTCAGAACTGCATTGGTCAACAGCACACTTGCTCAAACAAGAACATTACAACTTTGAGGTGGTGGTTCTCAGCATCTGTAACAATCTCGTAAGTGATCCTTTCATGTTTGCTACTGTAAGAGTTCTAGAAAGGACTTTTTCATTTTTATTGAGGTAACACTGGTTTACAACACTGTATGTGATCAGACATAGGACCACACCTTCTCAGATACATGTCCCCAAACCACCCACCACCAAGGCACCCACAGTCCTCCACCATTGACCACTGGGCCACCTCACTGTGTCCCCCCACCCCACATCTTATAGCCTCACTTTCACATTCAGATTTCTAGGGTTTGTTATTGGTTTGGTTTTGTCTGACCCTGCCTTTTGTCTCTCTACATTTTATATATAAGTGAAACCATCTGATATTTGTCCTTCTTCTTTTGACTTATTTTAGTTAACATTATCCCTTTCATTTCCATCTGTGTTGTCACAAATGATAAGATTTCATCTTTTTTACAGCTGAGTAGTATTTTATTGTGTATACATATCACATTTTTCTAATCCATTCATGTGTTCTTGTAAATAGTGCTGCAATGAACCTAGCAGTGCACATATCCCTTCAGATCAGTGTTTTTACATTCTTTGGAGTGCAGTTGTTGGACCATGTGATAGATCTGTTCTTAATATTTTGAGAACACTACATACTGTTTTCCATAGGGGCTGAATCAGTCTTCATTCTCACCAGCAGTGTATGAAATTTCCTAATTCTCTACACCCTTGCCAGCATTTGTTGTTTCTGGTCTTTTAATATGGATATTCTGCCAAGTGTAGGTTGTGGTTATAATTTGCATTTCTCTGATGATAAGTGATAATGAGTATTTTTTCATGTGCCTGTTAGCCATCCAAATGTCTTCTTTGGAGGAATGTCTGTTTAGCTCTTCTGCCCATTTTTTATTTGATTACTTGTTTTCTTTTTGTTGAGTTGTATGACTTCTTTATATATCTTAGAAAGGATCCCTTTATCAGATGTAAGATGCTCACATATTTTCTCCCATTCACTAGGATGTCTTTGGTATATTGATAGATTCTAGGAAGAATTTTAAAGGTTATTCAAAGTGATAAACAGTGCAGTGGGAACAAGGATGCATCTTGGAGAATAAATGCAAAGAAAAAATAATAATTGAGTGATTATGTTATAGGGCAGCCCCGATACAAAACGGGGTGCCTGACTGTGGGTCCTCACCCGCGCGCTTAAAAGGACTTATCAGTACTCTACTGCAGGCACACGCGAAAAGTTAATAAAAGGTTTATTCACAAGGGAAGGGGAAATGAGGAAATGTACAGCTCAGGGAGAAAAGTGGGAGACAAAGTTTTAAATGAGTCCTACCCAATCCACCGATCTGGAAACCCAAATGACGCTCTGAGAGCTGGCCTTGAGCCAGGAGCCATGAAGCCAGGAGGCGAGCGACAGCGAGCCACCCCGAGGCCCACGTGTTTGGTTTTTATACCCAACCTGGCTGCTAAACTCCACCCTCAGGTCCCAGCCACCTTCCCTTTGGTGGTGATGGGATTTGTCTTTCCCCATGTCTTGATGGCTTTAGTCTGGAGTGGGAGTGGAGTCCACAAAGCCTGTATGGGATTAGCTCAGGACATCCTTTCCCCCTAACAATTACAGTTAAGGTTTGAGACCAGAGAACATAAAAATTTTCCACTTCCTCTTCCTCAACATTAGTCACTCATCTTCTTCTACCCCCTTACTTTGAACTATCTATTGACGTAAGTGTAGAAACAGCATTCCAAATCATCAAAAGAAAAACAGGAATTATTTTGCCACCACCTACTGAGCTGGTCCTCTGAAAACAAGCACAAACTGCATTGATAGTCATGTGGGCATGGAGAAATGCTAAGTCTGCAAACACAAAGTTGGGTTTGGGAATCAGATAATAAACTGAATAGTACCTGTAAGCAGAAGAGTGAAATCTGTACATGGAAACACCCACGTTTTAAAGTGGTCCCAATTTGACATAAGCAACCAATTTCTTTTCTCTGGAAGCCTCTCACGAGGCTTTTTCAAGTATTGAGATTGTATTTTTCTTTCCTTTTTATTCTCAGCTTATTTCTCATAGGAGCTGCATTGTAGATTTGATATGTGATACTTTAGGATTCCTGAGGAGCTCCCGTGTATATCTGAGAAAAGCATCCATTATTTTAATAGGTAAATAAAGCATTTCCTAATTTGTCTTAAAGGGTACACAATGGGGTAGCAGCTTGAAGTCTTCCTGGAAAAAAATGTATAAATGTTCTTTGTTTATGTTGGATAGCACCTGTCCTGGTGATATCTATGAAGACTAGAGATTTATACAATTGATGAGAATAAGGTTTGATTTAAGTACACAGTAAATAAAGCAGTGATGAAATTATTACACAAGTTCTATTCAACAAAATGAATTGTAAAATTTAGAATGGTGGCAAACCACTGCTTCTCCTTAATTGCTTAAAAATCACTGCTCATGAGTTAAATCCCTGCCAGGGAGCAACACACATGGTGCAGCAGACCTCTCCTGTCTCACCTGCTGCTCCCCACAGCAATGTATTTCAGTCAGTCTGCCTGTTCTGTTCCCCACTCTGTCTCTGGTGAATCCTCTCACGCCCTGCATCTCTGGCCTGTACCCCAGGTCTTGTATACATACATAAATAAATCTTAAAAAAAGAAAAAATAATAATAATAAATCACTGCTCAAAGAATATGAATCATAAATAATATAAAAAATACACAAGAACTATATGATAAAACTTGAACATCAGTAATCACAAACTATAATAGATACAGAGCTACTAAATGCAGTAGTGTGTGTGTGTGTTTTAATGTAGGCAAGAGGGATTAATAGGGGAAGATTATAGGAGAAGACAACTGATTTTGATCTTGGCAAAACTTGACCAGACAGGTTTTTTTTTTTGCCTATTAGATTCTCACAATGAAGTTCAAACTTAATAATCCTTTACTTGAAATGACAGGAACTGAGTTCCCAACTTGCTAGTGGATCTTTCTTTGACTTCTGCAAGACAAAGCTAATAAAAACAGTCAAAAACCATATTGAGATGAAATGTTTTGCAATACTTACACAGATAGAGGGTGAATTTTTACTGTCTAAATAATCCTTTACTAATGCATAAGTAATCTACTAGAAAAATGAACAAAAAACATGAAAAAATTGGCTCATAAGCAAACTTTTCACAATATCCAAAAAAGATGTTGATTCAGTAATCTCCTCTCAAGAAAATGTATCCTCAGTTCTACTCATATGTCAAAAATGAGGCTTACCGCATTTTTGTTCACTAGCTTGATTGTTCCATTTATCCTTAGCATGTAGCTTTATCCTCAATTGTGTTTTCTGATTACCTTCTGTATTTCACAGTCTTACACCATGGAAGACACAAAAAAAGGAAAGGGCAAAAGATGTGACTGGGTCAACCCAAGCTTTCTTCAAAGTTCTAACCAGTGTTTTATCTTAACAACCTGGAACATCAGAACTGTCACATTGCCACCATTAATTGTCAAAGATGATTGGAAATGAGGATACTTTTTAAAGGAAAATTTAAAATGTGGACCATTTAGATTCTTTCTTTTTAAAAAACTTTATTTAAATGGGCAAGAAGGAGACAAGATATTGGCTTGGCAACTAGCAGTGTGTCACAATTGCCAACATTTAAAATTTGAGAATTTTCGGGCCTCCCTGGTGGCTCAGCAGTTGAACGCTTGGTTGCGAAGCTGCCCACAGCTTCTGCAACGCTGGTTCGATCCCCCGTCACCGGGCGAGGGTCCCACATGGCGTGCAGACCTCTCCTGCCGCCAGTAAAAAGAAAAAAAAAATTTGAGAATTTTCCTAGGAGTATATCTGGATTTCCAATTAATTTGGGGGGAGGAGGGAAGATGGCAGATAAAGCAACAAGCAACATTGACACTGCATTTCTGCTTGGTAGCAACTAAGAAAAATGGACCATCAGTCTCACTTTTAATATTAAATAACTAATTGAAAACATCTAAAGATAACTCAAGGTTATTCATTTTCCTGGTCCCTTATTTAAGTTTTCTAGATCCCTGCTATGAGTGAGACCAAAGGTTTTGCTTTGAGGAAAGCAATGGAGGTATCCAGATAATATATCAGAGAACATATTTTCATAATGTATTTTGGGGTAACTTTAATTTTACTTTGTGCATAGGGTACTTGGCAAAAGCTGGTGCCCATTTACTGTTCAGAGATGATATTCAAGTCATGCTTAAAGGTAAATATTGAAGTTATAATGAATCTTTGTGCAAAGGTCTAGATAAATTTACTATTTGTGATTATTTTCATATGTGAGTTCTATAATGGTGCCAAAGATGGTAGTGGTAGGGTGATTAGGAAGGAATCAACTGAAGGATATTGGGGCTTTTTTTTTTTTTGCTTTTTTCTCCTCTCTCTCCCTCTCTTTCTCTCTCTTCCTCTCTCTCTCTTCGCTTCCCTCTCTCCCCCCCTTCTCCTCACTCCTACTCCCTCCTTCTCTCCCTCAGTTCTACATCTCTCCACCTAACCCTCTCATTATTTGAAATCTAAGCATCATCCTAGAGCTCTTAGGAATGGCTGACAGTTGAGAATTTTCTTTCACTCATTCATCCAATGAATATTTTTCCAGCATCCCCTATGTGACAGCACTATTCTAACTACTGGGAATACAGAAGCTAACAAAACAAGTCCCTTCCATCAGAAAATAGCAATGTACACTACACCAGCAGGGATTACGAAAGGCAATGTTTATTCTATCAAAAATGTTGGCTCTTTGGCAGTTCTCTGTTAGCCTCCATTTTCCCCTAAAGATCAGAGTACACAGTGAGGAGAGGGGAAATATAGCTGCTGCCTTTCTTCCTTATTTTTGTAATAGATTTTATTTTTCAGAAGAGATTAGGTTTACAACAAAATTGAGTGAGAATTATAGAGATTTTCCATATACTTCCATATGTTCCATATGTTTAACCCCTTCCCAATGTCAACATTTCCCCCACTAGAACGAAACATTTATTACAACAGATAAAGCTACATTGGCACATTATTATCTTCCTTCCTTCTTCATTTCTCCCTTCCTCATTTACTTGTCTATTCATACATGTTTCTTGAATGCCTGATGAATTCTAAGCACTTTATTCTCCCTGCATGTCTCTCTTCCTCTCCCTTTTTTCTGTCCTCCGCTTCCTTCTACCTTTCTAAATCTGTCCATTTTTTCCACTCTTTCCTTTTGTTAACAAAAAATAATAATTTCCCACAAATGCAGTATCGGGCTACAATGGTATTAGCATTTTGGTAGGCAGATAGATAGACAGGTAGAGAGAAACCCAGATATTTTTAAAGAACATAAGCAATTAAATATTTTGAACTATCATAAGTTATGTATTTTGTTTATTTGTATTCCATAAAATATTTGCATGCCAAGGGTCTACACCATGCTAATATGTACATGCTATTTAATATTATGATATTTTAAGCAGTTTCTCATTAATTAACATTTAGTTTGACTCCTACTTTTTTCATGATTATGAGCAATGTTGAATTCTTCATGAACATACGTTATTCTAGCTGGAAAAGTGCTCAGCACATAATGGGCTCTCAGTAAGTGAATATTTCATTTTTCTTACAAGGATGTCTGGTAGGGAGAGAGGATACAACTCCCTGGGTCCTATTAGTCAAAGAAATGAAAATCAGAGAGTGGGGAGGGAGAGAGAAAAGGGGTCTCCATGAAGGCTAAGCTCAGAGGTAGAGCTTCTGGAACTCTGAAAGCAATGCCTTGAACCAAGGGTCCTTCTGCCATTACAGTTGTTGATGGAGTGCTTTGGGACAAGGACCCTGTGATCAAGCAGTTGGCACTAAAAACCCACAAGATCATTAAGGAAATACTTCAAAATACTAAGTCCTCAAATATTAAACAAGTCTTCCAAAGATTGTTTAACTTCATTTACACCAAGAAACTGAAGCCTCTTCATTACTATACTTGTGAAAAAGAAGATAATGACAGCTCTGTGGAGATTAATGAAATCAAAAGCGATAAGGAAGATCTGACAGATGCGAATTATGACATAATGATTTAGAGGTGTGCTAGTGCCTCGGAGCATACCTCAAAAGAGAAGTAATTTTTCTTTCCCCCCGATAGCTTGAGTCTATGTATAGATGTCTTTTTGAAGGATGCTATAGATTTTACTGATCCTTCTTAATTCTCCATTCACCCGAGAAATCTGTTTCCTACATCTGACAGTAGTCAGAAGTCATACCTCTCAAATCCACCAATAAAACTGAAAAATCTATAAAGTGTTTGATGAGAAATCTTGGGACTTGACTCAATCATTAAGCTTCTACTGAATGACTCCTAAGTGCTAGACACTATGCTTAGCAGCGGGGACGTTTACATGATACAGGTTCCTTGGTGAGGTCACAGTCCAGTGACACAGAGTGTGGTTATTTCTATCCATGCTGCTCGAGGAATGCTACACAGGGCAATGTTCACAAAAGAGGAAATGAAACTTCCTTAGAAAAGGAAAGGGAACAGAGAAATTCATTCCAGGTGGGACACAATTGAAGCAAAAAGGAGTGTTGGGGCAGCTGGAGAATTGATTGTGGTACATGTGAGAGTAAGGAAAGACAGAGACACTGAGATAAGAAGGGAAGATTATGCTCTGCTAATTGGCTAAAAAAACATGTTCTGATGAAAAGAGGGTAGTTAGTGACTCCCTGTTGCCATTAGGATCCAGTAGAACATTGTGTCCAAGAGGTTAAGAAAACTGATACATAAATGTGGTTTTAAATTATTATATTTAACATACTGTAATCATGCCAATTTTAAACTTCCATAGTCATTACCTTTGGTTAAAGATTTTTATATCCTTTTCATGTAACTTTTTTTTTATTGAGGTAACTGATTTACAACACTACATATAACTTAGAGGAACAGGTTCACACCTCCTCAGATATGTGTCACTACACCACACCCACCCCCAAAGTACCCAAACACTTCCAAAATACACCATTGGGACCCCTCCCCACTTTGAGCCCCACTCTGCAACCCTTCCCTCTGGTAGCCTCAATTCTTTTTTCTTTTTTAAATATTCATTTATTTATTTATTTATACAAGCACTGGGTACAGTCAGAAGCGCGGGAGGGTAAGAGAATTCACCAGAGCCAGAGCGGGGAACAGAACAGGCAGACTGACGAAATACACTGCTGTTGTAAATAGTGCTGCAATGAAGACATAAATACTGATCTCCAGTGATTTCGCTTGGCATAGTTCTGCTAACACCATGATTTCAGTCTATTGAAACCTATTTTGGATATTCAAACTGCAGAATGGTAAGACAATAAATTTGTGTTGTTTCAAGCCTCTCAGTTTGTGGTAATTTGTTAGCACAGCAACAGGAAACAAATATACCTATATTACTACCAAAAAGAAAAAAAAAAAAACAACCCATATCACACAGAGAGGGACATGGCAATAAATATAGCGAATCTTACACAAATTAAACAAGGTTTCTGTAGGAGGTCTGCTGTTCTATGATCTTTATGTTTTAAATATCTCCTTCAAAGTCCTTTTAGCCACCTCACCTGCGGGGATTTCTCCTTCACTCTCAACCTACACAGTAGCCTCCTTCATCACGTTTTGATTCTTTCAACCAATCTTTAGTAATGGATGGAAACTAGACTTTTGGTGATAGGCATGATATAGTGTAGACATTGTCAAATTATAATGATGTACATCTGAAACTTTATATATAATGTTAAAAATTGATGTTACTCAAAAAGTGATGTCAGAAACAGGACCAGAATACAGCTCAGTTTCTGTAAGTCCAATGGGAGAATTGTGTCATTGTATACTAGAGGAAAACATGGGAAACTACACTTCACAACAGAGCATGCATGTCCCCAGAGAGCACAGGATTGGAGCTGAGAGCAGTGACTGAATGAGACTGATGTCTGCCCTCAGGAAGGGCTATGCTCTGGTGGTCTGGAAGAGTTGTGTGTTGTGTCTTCATCTTCTACCAGGGGGAAAAAAAAACCCCAACTCCTTTCAAACTCATTTATTTGAAAACACAATTGATGAATGCCTCATTATGCTAACCTCTCTTGAGATACAGTGATTGCATTTTAGCAGAGGTGTTTTATAGCAAAGGATAGATTTAATAGTGTAATTTCATGCTTTAGGGAGCTAAGGGTTTGGAGAGGGGTTGTATTATAGTGAAGACTACAACAAAAAGCTCTGCAAATGCAATCACACACACACACACACACACACGCACACACACAAAAGTAGTTGCTTATTTCTTTTTAATGTAAAAGTCCAATATGGATAAGAAAGAAGCAGCAGCACTCTTTGGAGATGGCACCCAGGAGGGAGACATTGATGTTGTCACTTTGCCCCTGGTTATCCCTTCTCTTTACCCTGCCTTAAGAGATCATCCTTAAAACCCACAATCACAGTCAGGTCTTCCTCTACAAGTATGCTTTCCTGCCAACAATGCCACTGTGACCACTTTCAAGTGCCAAGTGCAGGGTCTCAAGCACACAGGGATATTTAGGGTTTCAAGGGTGAGAAAAAAATGAGGAGAATGTGAAGGCACAGCTTTTTGGCCAACACTGTGCCTGGGTTTCCTTATCAGTCCTGCCCATTCTCTTGGTTTGAGGTCCCAAAATCTAGTTTACTGCCCTGTTTTTCTTCCTGGTGCCTCTTCTTTTAAATCATTTTAAACATAACTCAGGTATGTGCACCATTATGGAATTAAGCACATTTAGCATGTATAAGCTCAGTTTACTCATGCTTCCAAATAATCTAGAGCAGTTTCCATGGTTCATCATTCAATGTTTAATTCGTACTCTGTATGCTTTAATGCCAAATCCAGATAATACAGGTAAAACCTCATCTGGTCTAAATCCTTTCCTGTATCCAGTTACACTGACTTTTTTTGCCTGCTACATACAGTTGACAGTTATTTAACAACTCACCATCCCATTTCCACATCTTCATGTCCTCAACTAGGGCTTTTCTATCTCACTGAAATTGCATCTAAGACATTCTGACTTTCATCTGTCTGAACTTTTCTATAGAACTAGAGGTCCAGTTCCTGTCTTTGAAATTCAGTAAGCTTTGATCCTCCTGTCCTTCCCCTTATTGACTGCCCTTTCACCATATTTCTTATCTCCAGGGAGGTTTCTTGGCACTCTCCTTATGGGTGGGTCATTTTTAAATCTGTTAGCCCTAGAAGTCTCACCCACCACTCTTATTTGCATTGATACAAAGGCACTTTAATGGAAGAGATTTTTTTCTTCATATGGAGATGAAAGCGGTATCTTTGATGTAATGAGTAAATGATGTTTTTTCCTTCAAAGACCCAAGGTTTTGCACATTTTAACTTTCCTCTCTTTTGTTAGGCTAAAAATAAAAGGACATTTGAGAAATTAAAATTCTTAGTAGTGAGTCTACTTGCTCTTTATAATCCAACTTCATAAACAATTTTATCGGAGTCATGTTCTTCCTCTTCTTTGAAATAAAATATTTGATTCAGCTCCCTCATACAATATTTTCATGCCTATTACTTGCTGTGGAAATAGCAAGTATGGAGGTATCTTCACTGTCCAACCTATCCTATTTAATTTTAGCTTCAAATGTGTTTCATTTGGAAATATTTGCATTATTTAAATGCTCCTAAAATATGTATTAAAATTAAGTGATTATAACAATAAAGTTTTGGTAAGGAAGATGAGTATTTACAGAAGCCCAAATCAAACTATTGGGAGAAATTAAAATTCTTAGCACCAGTACTAGTCTGCATCCAATACATTTAGCTTTGTTCACCACAAACTCTGTCTCTCATCTTTATCATACATGTTAGCATTTTTGTCTCCTAAATTAATCTACACTTTGATTGAGAGTTTCTGTTTCAAAGTCCCACACTAAGCACTGGAGATACTGCTATAAATATAATGGTGTTCCTTTCCCTTGAGACTAACATAGGAGATTAAATAATAATGCAAGTGATAATAATAACTCAATGCAAAATAACAAGCAAGGAAAAACATAAAAGTTGCCATGAGTTACAGAAAAGGTGTCAGAGATGTGTCTTTGTACTTCTGAAAATGTGACAGACTCTGTACTGGGTGGTTTTATAGTTTAAAGTGTTTCTAGATGGGAACAAGCTTTGTTAATCAGCATTACATAACTAATGCTGTTTCCTTGAGTTTTCTCTACTTAAGACTTAAGAATCTTGATTGTAAGTGAAAATGTTTATTTAATGTAGGTATTTTCTACTACAACACAATTCAATCAAGTTGCTACAGTTAATATCTCCATTTTATGAAAGAAAATTCAGACACATTAATTTATCCAAGGTCAAATATTCAATAGGTAGAAGAAGCACTTTTTTCATTCTAGAATTTATATGTCATGCAAGAATGTAAGAGCATCTCAGATTCACACTCTGAAATAAAAACCATATGGTCTTCCCTGTAACTAAGTTAAGTATAAATATAAGAAGGGTAATTCTAAAAGAAATTAAGCAAGATGTCAATAAAAAAAAAGTGCAATTACTCCTTACCTAGGAGGCTCCAGGTAGCCAGAACCCTTAGCCTGTGTGACCCAGGGTGACAAATTTTTTCCGTTTTATATCCTGGGCTTTCCTGATCCTTGAACTCAACATTTCTCATGACCAGGAAATGTTGTAATTTTCTTTTCTCAGGCGAGGTGGAAGAAGGTAGGTGTTACATAGAAGTGATTGTTCCTGGTCTTCACCCCTTATTTCTGATCCAGGAAGCTTGGGATAAAGCCTGTTAATGGTAACCTGTTCTATTTTCCTTCACAGTCTATTCAGTTTATCTTGATTTTTACTGATGCTTAAGAACCATTGCCTTAGTGCATGCTTTAGGGCAAAACTAGTTAGGTTTATTCAGCTTTGGCTGAAGTGATTGAATAAAAGTCACTTTCAGTGACTGACCACTTGATTTCCAGAGCTGGTTGCCTGCTTGCACTAAAAGCTCCAAAATGCACTTCTTTAGCTTGAGAAAAAACATCTCTTAAACAGAAGAGTATACTTTTTGTGACTGTATTTTCCTTGTCAGCTGTGCTTTACTCTAGGAGGCTCATGCTTTGCTGCCAAATGAGCATGTATACAAAAATATTCTGGCAAGTAGCATGTGCTGCTGCTTCATATACAACAGCTAATTTATCCCTGTGACTGCCTTTTGCAAAAGTCTCCATCTTGATTTTATTGATTTGAAAAGAAATTAAGAAATGAAATAAGCTGGAGCTGAGCTTTATACTAACTGATTAT